CAATGTCCCCAATGTCCCCAGTGTGTCCCCAATATCCCCAGTGTCCCCAGTGTCCCCAGTGTCCCCAACACCTCCAGTGTCCCCAGTGTCCCCGCTGTCCCCGGTGTCCCCAGTGTCCCCAGTGTCCCCAGTGCCCCCCGTGTCCCCTCTGTCCCCAGTGTCCCCCGGTGTCCCCAGCATCCCCTGTGTCCCCAGTGCCCCCCAGTGTCCCAATGCCCCCAATGCCCCCAATGTCCCCAGCATGTCCCCGGTGTCCCCAGTGCCCCCAGTGTCCCCAACATCCCTGGTGTCCCGAGTGTCCCCAATGTCCCCCAGTGTCCCCAGTGTCCCCCATGTCCCCAGCATCCCCCAATGTCCCCGGTGTCCCCGCTGTCCCCAGTGTCCCCAGTGTCCCCAGCGTCCCCGGTGTCCCCAGCATCTCCCCAGTGTCCCCGGTGTCCCCAGGGTGTCCCCGCTGTCCCCGCTGTCCCCAGTGTCCCCAGCACACCTTGTCCTCCTCCCTGACGACGTACTGGGCCACCTTGAAGGAGCTCAGGTACTCGTTCATGTTCTGCACGTCGGCGTCGTCGGTGGCGTCCTGGTTCCGGTCCAGCAGCCGCGCGATGGCCTCGTTGTCGTAGTGGATGACGCTGCTGTCCTCCTCCTTGTTGTCCCCTGCGCGGCCACACCGTGTGACACGCTGGGACACGGCCGGACGCGCCCCACGGGGACGGGACACGGCTTTGTCATGTCCCACGGGGACGGGACACGGCTTTGTCATGTCCCACGGGGACGGGACATGGCTTTGTCACGTCCCAACACGGCTTTGTCACATCCCAACACGGCTTTGTCATGTCCCAAGGGGATGGGACACGGCTTTGTCATGTCCCAAGGGGATGTGACACAGCCTTGTCACGTCCCAACACGGCTTTGTCACGTCCCAACACGGCTTTGTCATGTCCCAACATGGCTTTGTCATGTCCCACGGGGACGGGACACGCCTTTGTCACATCCCAAGGTGATGGGACACGGCCTTGTCACATCCCAACGTGGCTTTGTCACGTCCCAAGGGGATGGGACACGTCATTGTCATGTCCCAACATGGCTTTGTCATGTCCCAAGGGGATGTGACATGGCTTTGTCACGTCCCAAGGTGATGGGACACGGCTTTGTCACGTCCCAACACGGCTTTGTCATGTCCCAAGGGGATGGGACACGGCTTTGTCACATCCCAACGTGGCTTTGTCATGTCCCAAGGTGATGTGACACAGCTTGGCCAATATGGCCAATATGGCCCAACATGGCCCAGTCCAGCCCAGTCCAACCCAGTGTGTCCCAGTCCAACCCAACACAGCCCAGTCCATTCCAGCCTGGCCCAACAAGGCCCAGTCCAACCCAACAAGGCCCAGTCCAACCCAACATGGCCCAGTTCAGTCCAGCACGGCCCAGTCCAACCCAACATGGCCCAGTCCAACCCAACATGGCCCAGTCCAACCCAGCACAGGCTAACATGGCCCAATCTAACCCAACATGGCCCAGTCCAACCCAACATGGTCCAACATGGCCCAGTCCAACCCAGCACAACCCAGTCCAACCCAACATCACCAAACATGACCCAGCCCGGCCTGGCCCGGCCCAGCAGAATCCAGTTCAGCCCAGTACGACCCAGCCCAGCCCGGCCGGCCCAGCCCAGCCCAGCCCAGCCCAGCCCAGCCCAGCCCAGCCCAGCCCAGCCCAGCCCCACGCGGGCCCACCCTCGTTCTCGTCCTTGAAGAGCTCCTCGGTGCCGAACTTGAGGATGTCGTCGAGCTCCTGCTTGGACATGGAGCCGGCCTTGGAGCCCAGCCCCGGGCGCACCACCAGGTGCGTCAGCATCATCTTGCGCTTGGCCACCTGCGTGATCCGCTCCTCCACCGAGGCCCGCGTCACGAAGCGGTAAATCATCACCTTGTTGGCCTGGCCGATGCGGTGGGCGCGGCTGAAGGCCTGCGAGGGAGGGGACAGTGAGGGGACACCATGGGGACACACCAGGGACGCCCCAGGGACATGGGGGGACACCCCAGGGACACCTCAGGGACATGGGGGGACACCCCAGGGACACCTCAGGGACATGGGGGGACACCCCAAGGACATGAGGGGACACCCTGGCCGATGCGGTGGGCGCGGCTGAAGGCCTGCGAGGGAGGGGACATTGAGGGGACAACATGGGGATGTGGTGGGGACACCCCAGGCACATGGTGGGGACACACCAGGGACATGGGGGGACACCCTGGCCAAGGGGGTGAGTGAGGCTGAAGGCCTGAGAAGATGGGGACATTGTGGGGACACCCTGGGGACACACCAGGGACACCCCAGGGACATGAGGGGACACCCTGGCTGAGGTGGTGAGCGAGGCTGAAGGCCTGTGAGGGAGGGGACAGTGAGGGGACACCATGGGGACGTGGTGGGGACATCCCAGGGACACCCCAGGGACATGGGGGGACACCCTGGCCGATGCGGTGGGCGCGGCTGAAGGCCTGCAAGGGAGGGGACATTGAGGGGACACTCTGGGGACATTGAGGGGACACCCTGGGGACGTGGTGGGACACCCCAGGGACACCCCAGGGACATGGGGGGACACCCTGGCCGAGGGGGTGAGTGAGGCTGAAGGCCTGCGAGGGACGGGACATTGAGGGGACACCCTGGGGACGTGGTGGGGACACCCCAGGGACAGGAGGGGACACCCTGGCTGAGGTGGTGAGTGAGGCTGAAGGCCTGCGAGGGATGGGACAGGTCAGGGACACCCTGGGGACATGGTGGGGGCATCCCAGGACATGAGGGGACACCCTGGCCGAGGTGGTGAGCCCCATTGAAGGCCTGTGGGGACGGGGATGTCGTGGGGACATCGTGGGGACATCATGGGGACACCTCAGGGACTTGACAATCAGGGGAGACAGGGAGGGTGACACAGGCCAGGTGACACCGGCCAGGTGACACTGCCCAGGTGACACTGCCCAGGTGCCCGGTGCCCACCTGGATGTCGTTGTGGGGGTTCCAGTCCGAGTCGAAGATGACCACGGTGTCGGCCGTCGCCAGGTTGATGCCGAGGCCCCCGGCCCGCGTCGACAGCAGGAAACAGAACTGCTGCGCCCCCGGCGCTGCCCCCCCGGCGTCAGTGACGGACCCAAAACGCCCCAAATTCACCCCAAAAACACCCCAAACCCACCCCAAACCCACCCTCACTGCTGCGCCCCCGGCGCTGCCCCCCCGGCGTCAGTGACGGACCCAAAACGCCCCAAATTCACCCCAAAAACACCCCAAACCCACCCTCACTGCTGCGCCCCCGGCGCTGCCCCCCCGGCGTCAGTGACGGACCCAAAACACCCCAAATTCACCCCAAAAATACCCCAAACCCACCCTCACTGCTGTGCCCCCTTGTCCCTGTCCCTGTCCCCATTCCCTGTGTCCCTGTCCCTGTCCCTGTCCTTGTCCCTGTCCCCATCCCTGTCCCCATCCCTGTCCTTGTCCCTGTCCCCATCCCTGTCCCCGTCCCCATCCCCATTCCCATGTCCCCGTCCCCTGTCCCTATCCCTGTGTCCCTGTCCCCATCCCTGTCGCCATCCCCTGTCCCTGTCCCTATCCCTGTCCCTGTGTCCCCATCCCCGTCCCCGTGTCCCCGTCCCCATCCCTGTGTCCCCATCCCTGTGTCCCTGTCCCTGTCCCCGTCCCCATCCCCGTGTCCCCGTTCCCATCCCCATCCCTGTGTCCCCATCCCCATCCTTGTCCTCGTGTCCCCGTCCCCTGTCCCCATCCCCGTGTCCCCGTCCCCGTGTCCCTGTCCCCATGTCCCTGTCCCCGTGTCCCCATCCCCTTCCCCATCCCTGTCCCCATCCCTGTGTCCCCATCCCCGTCCCCATGTCCCCATCCCCATCCCCGTGTCCCCGTGTCCCCTGTCCCCGTCCCCGTCCCTACCGTTGAAGCGGTCGATGGCCTCCTGCCGCAGGGCCCCGGTGATGCCGCCGTCGATGCGCTCGTACTTGTAACCCTCATAGTCCAGGAAATCCTCCAGCAGGTCCAGCATCTTCGTCATCTGCGCGTACTGGTCAGACTGGGAGCCACTGGGAGGGCTGGGAGGGGCTGGGGACCCTGTACTGGGCACACTGGGAGGGACTGGGAGAGACTGGGAGGGACTGAGAGAGGCTGGAGACCCTGTACTGGGCACACTGGGAGGGACTGGGAGGGACTGGGAGGGACTGGGAGAGACTGGGAGGGACTGGGAGGGACTGGGAGGGGCTGGGAGGGACTAGAGACCCTGTACTGGGCACACTGGGAGGGACTGGGAGGGACTGGGAGGGACTGGGAGGGACTGGAAGGGACTGGGAGAGGCTGGAGACCCTGTACTGGGCACACTGGGAGTGCTGGGATGGACACTGGGCACACTGGGAGGGACTGGAGACCCTGTACTGGGCATACTGGGAGGGACTGGGGTGCTGGGACAGCCCATACTGGGCAGACTGGGGGGATATGGGGTATTTTGGGGTCCCACCTGGGAGAAGATGAGCACGTGGTGGTTCTGGGGGTGGTTTTGGGGATAATTTGGGATATTTTGGGGTGTTTTTGGGGTCCCACCTGGGAGAAGATGAGCACGCGGTGGTTCTGGGGGCGGTTTTGGGGATAATTTGGGATATTTTGGGGTATTTTTGGGGTCCCACCTGGGAGAAGATGAGCACGCGGTGCTTCTGGGGGTGGTTTTGGGGATAATTTGGGATATTTTGGGGTGTTTTTGGGGTCCCACCTGGGAGAAGATGAGCACCCGGTGGTTCTGGGGGTGGTTTTGGGGTATTTCAGGGATATTTTGGGGTGTTTTTGGGGTCCCACCTGGGAGAAGATGAGCACCCGGTGGTTCTGGGGATAATTTGGGATATTTTGGGGTATTTTGGGGTCCCACCTGGGAGAAGATGAGCACGCGGTGGTTCTAGGGGCAGTTTTGGGGTATTTCAGGGATATTTTGGGCTGTTTTGGGGGTGGTTTTGGGATCCCACCTGGGAGAAGATGAGCACGCGGTGGTTCTGGGGGTGATTTTGGGGATAATTTGGGATATTTTGGAGTGCTTTTGGGGTCCCACCTGGGAGAAGATGAGCACCCGGTGGTTCTGCTCCTTCAGCTTGCGCAGCATCTTCTGCAGCAGCAGCAGCTTCCCCGAGGCCTTGATCAGCGCCCCGCCCTCGTAGGCGCCGCTCGGCAGCTTCGGGGACTCCTGGGGACAGGGACAGGCCGGGTCACCCGTGGGGACAGCGCCGGGTCACCCACAGGGACAGGCCAGGTCACCCGTGGGGACACCACCCGTGGGGACACCACCCGTGGGGACACCACCCATGGGGACACCACCCACAGGGACATGTGTCCCCCCCATCATCATCTCCACGTCCCTTGTGTCCCCTCCATGTCCCCATGTCCCACATCCCTTGAACCCTCCCACATCCCCTCCCTGTCCCCATGTCCCCGCTGTCCCCCCACACCCCTGGCTGTCCCCACGTCCCTGGTGTCCCCAAGTCCCCGGTGTCCCCGTGTCCCCCCACACGCCTGGCTGTCCCCATGTCCCTGGTGTCTCTGCTGTCCCCATGTCCCCCCACACCCCTGGCTGTCCCCACGTCCCTGGTGTCCCTGGTGTCCCCATGTCCCCAATGTCCCCGCTGTCACCCCACACCCTGGCTGTCCCCATGTCCCCCCACAACCCCTGGCTGTCCCCATGTCCCCCCACACCCCCGGGTGTCCCCGGTGTCCCCAGTGTCCCCATGTCCCCCCACACCCCCTGGCTGTCCCCATGTCCCTGGGGTCCCCATGTTTCCCCACAGCCCCGTGTGTCCCCAGTGTCCCCACTGTCCCCCCACAGCCCTGGGTGTCCCCAGTGTCCCCACTGTCCCCCCACACCCATGGCTGTCCCCATGTCCCTGATGTCCCCATGTCCCCCACCCCCCCAGCTGTCCCCATGTCCCCATGTCCCTGCTGTCCCCATGTCCCTCCACACCCCCGTGTGCCCCCGATGTCCCCGTGTCCCCCCACGCCCCTGGCTGTCCCCACGTCCCTGGTGTCCCTGCTGTCCCCCCGGCTGTCCCCATGTCCCCCCCTCACTCCCAAGTGTCCCCAGTGTCCCTGTGTCCCCCCACACCCCTGGCTGTCCCCATGTCCTCATGTCCCCGGTGTCCCCATGTCCCCCCACGCCCCCGTGTGCCCCCGATGTTCCAGGTGTCCCCGTGTTCCCCCACACCCCCGTGTGCCCCCAATGTCCCCGATGTCCCCGATGTCCCTGTATCCCCCCACACCCCTGTGTGCCCCCAATGTCCCCGGTGTCCCCGTGTCCCCACCATGGCGGCCACGGGGAACAGGTAGGGGTGGTTGCAGCACTTCTTGAGGTCCATCATGATGTTGAGCAGCGACACCTGGTTGCCGCCTCCCCGCGAGTTGAGCGCCTCGAAGTTGCGCGTCAGGATGTACTTGTAGTACTTCCTGCGGGGACAGCGGTGCCACCGGCCGCTCTGGGGACACGGGGACACGGCGGTGGCAGCGTGGGGACAGCCCCACGGGGAGGGGACAGCACCTACTTCTGCATGGGGCTGAGCTCCACGCGCACGATCAGCTCCGTCTTGGCCGGCATGTTCTTGAAGACGTCGGCCTTGAGGCGCCGCAGCATGTGGGGGCCCAGCAGGTCGTGGAGCTTCTTGATCTGGTCCTCCTTGGAGATGTCGGCAAACTCCTCCAGGAACCCCTCCAGGTTACTGGGGACACGGGGATGCGTCAGTGTGGGGACATGGGGACAGCGTGGGGACACGGGGACAGCGTGGGGACACGGGGGGGACACAGGAACCCCTCCAGGTTACTGGGGACACGGGGACCCGTCAGTGTGGGGACACGGGGGGGACACAGGAACCCCTCCAGGTTACTGGGGACACGGGGATGGGTCAGTGTGGGGACATGGGGACAGCATGGGGACACAGGAACCCCTCCAGGTTACTGGGGACACGGGGACACGGGGACAGGGTCTGTGTGGGGACACGGGGACAGCGTGGGGACACGGGGACATGGAGGGGACATGGGGACAGGGTCAGTGTGGGGACATGGGGGGGACACAGGAACCCCTCCAGGTTACTGGGGACACGGGGACCGGTCAGTGTGGGGACACGGGGACAGTGTGGGGACACGGGGACGGGTCAGTGTGGGGACACGGGGACAGCGTGGGGACATGGGGACAGCGTGGGGACACAGGAACCCCTCCAGGTTACTGGGGACACGGGGACCCGTCAGTGTGGGGACACGGGGACACGGGGATGGGGTCAGTGTGGGGACACGGGGACACGGGGTCAGCATGGGGACACGGGGATGAGGTCAGCATGGGGACACAGGGACATGGAGGGGACACAGGAACCCCTGCAGGTTATTGGGGACACAGGGATAGGGCGAGCTTGGGGACACCAGGATTTGGTGGGACACGAGGTGACAGAGGTGGCACAGGAGGTGACACAGGTGGCAGAGGGGACACAGGAGGTGACACAGGTGGCAGAGGTGACACAGGAGGTGACAGGAGGTGACACAGGAGGGGACACAGGAGGGGACGCACTTGAAGCGCTCGGGCGTGAGGAAGTTGAGCAGGTGGAACAGCTCCTCCAGGTTGTTCTGCAGCGGCGTCCCCGTGAGCAGCAGCTTGTGCTCGATCTTGTACCCGTTCAGCACCCGGAAAAACTGCGGGGACGGGCCTCAGACCCCAAATCCAGCGGGGACAGCCCTAAACCCCAACTGGGGCACCCCAAATCCACCGGGGACAGCCCTGATCCCCCACCTGGGACACCCCAAATCCACCTGGGACAGCCCTGATCCCCCACCAGGGCACCCCAAATCCACCTGGGACAGCCCTGATCTCCCCCTTAGACCCCAAAATCCACCTGGGACACCCCTGATCCCCCCCCCCCAGACCCCAAAATCCACCTGGGACACCCCTGATCCCCCCCTCAGACCCCAAAACCCACCTGGGAACACCACTGATCCCCCCCTCAGACCCCAAATCCACCTGGGGCACCCCTGATCCCCCCCTCAGACCCCAAAATCCACCGGTGACAGCCCTGATTGCCCCCTCAGACCCCAAAATCCACCTGGGGCACCCCTGATCGCCCCCTCAGACCCCAAATCCACCTGGGGCACCCCTGATCGCCCCCTCAGACCCCAAATCCAGCGGGGACAGCCCTGATCCCCCCCTCAGACCCCAAAATCCACCTGGGACAGCCCTGATCCCCCCCTCAGACCCCCAAATCCACCTGGGACACCCCTGATCCCCCCCTCAGACCCCAAATCCACCTGGGACAGCCCCAAACCACAACTGGGGCACCCCAAATCCACCTGGGACAGCCCTGATCCCCCCTCAGACCCCAAAATCCACCTGGGACAGCCCTAAACCCCAACTGGGGCACCCCAAATCCACCGGGGAACAGCCCTGATCCCCCCCTCAGACCCCAAAACCCACCAGGGACACCCCTGACACCTGCCTGGTCACCCTCAGACCCTGAAATCAGGGATCTCTGAGTTTTGAGGTGTCCCCTACACCCATGCCCGGGTTCTGGGGTGCCCCCCAGCCCCATGCCCGGGTTCTGGGGTGCCCCCCAGCCCCATGCCCAGGTTTTGGGGTGCCCCCCACCTTGGACTGGTTGTTTTTGAGGCGGTGGGCCTCGTCCACCACCAGGCAGGCCCAGCGGATGGAGCCCAGCGCCGCCTGGTCGATGGTGATGAGCTCGTAGGACGTCAGCAGCACGTGGAACTTCACCTGCGCCTCGCGCTGCGGGCACGGGCGGGGCTCAGCGGGGCCCCCCAGCACCCCAGAACGTGGAGAAACCCCACCCAGAACCCCAAAACATGAAAAAATCCCACCCAGAACTCACCCAGCACCCCAAAACGTGGAGAAACCACGTCCAGAACTCACCCAGAACCCCAAAACGTGGAGAAACCACGTCCAGAACTCACCCAGAGCCCCAGGACGTGGAGAAACCACGTCCAGGACTCACCCAGAACCCCAAAACATTAAAAAATCCCACCCAGAACTCACCCAAAACCCCAAAATGTAGAAAAACCCCCATCCAGCACCCCCAAAACCCCACCCAGGACCCCAAAACATGGAAAAACCCCACTCAGAACCCCAAGGTGACCCAAGTGTCCAGGTGCCACCCCGCTGTCCCCACCCCGCTGTCCCCAAGTGTCCGGGTGCCACCCCAGGTGTCCAAGTGCTACCCCGCTGTCCCCCAAGTGTCCACCCTGCTATTCCCCAGGTGACACAGCTGTCTGGGTGCCACCCCGCTGTCCCACCCCACTGTCCCCAGCTGTCCATGTCCCCACCCCACTGTCCCACCCCACTGTCCCATCCCGTTGTCCCACCCCGCTGTCCCCAAGTGTCTGGGTGCCACCCCAGGTGTCCAAGTGCCACCCCACTGTCCCACCCCACTGTCCCACTCCACTGTCCCCACCCCGCTGTCCCCAGGTCTCCAAGTGCCACCCCACTGTCCCCCAGGTGACACAGCTGTCTGGGTGCCACCCCGCTGTCCCACCCCGCTGTCCCCACCCCACTGTCCCCACCCCACTGTCCCCACCCCGCTGTCCCACCCCGCTGTCCCCACCCCACTGTCCCCACCCCACTGTCCCCACCCCGCTGTCCCCACCCCACTGTCCCCACCCCACTGTCCCCACCCCGCTGTCCCACCCTGCTGTCCCACCCCGCTGTCCCCACCCCGCTGTCCCCAAGTGTCTGGGTGCCACCCCAGGTGTCCAAGTGCCACCCCACTGTCCTCCAGGTGTCCAGGTACCACCCCCAGATGTCCAAGTGCCACCCCACTGTCCCACCCCGCTGTCCCACCCTGCTGTCCCCACCCCGCTGTCCCCAAGTGTCCAGGTGCCACCCCGCTGTCCCCACCCCGCTGTCCCCAAGTGTCCAAGTGCCACCCCTCTGTCCCCACCCCGCTGTCCCACCCCCACCTTCATCTTGAAGGCCTTCTTGCCGCCCTTGATGGCGGTGTCGTCGAAGGAGAACTCGTTCTCGCGGATGATGGCGCGGCTGTCCTTGTCCCCGGTGTAGGTCACCACGTAGAAGGACGGCGCCCACATCTGGAACTCGCGCTCCCAGTTGATGATGGTGGAGAGCGGCGCGCTGACGAGGAACGGGCCCTTGGTGTGGCCCTGGGGGACACGGTGTCACACCCTGGGGACAGCCCTGGGGACACGGGGACAGCCCCGGGGACAGCCCTGGGGACACGGTGTCACACCCTGGGGACAGCGCTGGGGACACGGGGACAGCCCTGGGGACACGGTGTCACACCCTGGGGACAGCCCTGGGGACACGGGGACAGCCCTGGGGACACGGGGACAGCCCGGGGACAGCCCTGGGGACACGGTGTCACACCCTGGGGACAGCCCTGGGGACACGGGGACAGCCCCGGGACAGCCCTGGGGACACGGTGTCACACCCTGGGGACAGCCCTGGGGACACGGGGACAGCCCCGGGGACAGCCCTGGGGACACGGTGTCACACCCTGGGGACAGCCCTGGGGACACGGTGTCACACCCGTCACGGGGACAGCCCTGGGGACACGGGGACAGCCCCGGGACAGCCCTGGGGACACGGTGTCACACCCTGGGGACAGCCCCAGGGACACGGGGACAGCCCCAGGACAGCCCTGGGGACACGGTGTCACACCCTGGGGACAGCCCCAGGGACACGGGGACAGCCCCGGGACAGCCCTGGGGGACACGGTGTCACACCACAGGGACAGCCTTGGGGACACGGTGTCACACCCGTCACGGGGACAGCCCTGGGGACAGCCCTGGGGACAGCCCTGGGGACACGGTGTCACACCACGGGGACAGCTCTGGGGACATGGGGACAGCCCCGGGGACAGCCCCGGGACAGCCCTGGGGACACGGTGTCACACGGGGACAGGGGGACAGGACCTTGAGAAACTTGGGGACAGGTCTGTGACAACAAGGGACCAGGCAGGTGACCCCAGCACTCAGCAGGTGACCCCAGCCCCACATGGATGACCCCAGTGACCACTGGAGTGCCCCCACCGGTGCCCCCAGGCCCACCTGGGTGACCCCAGTGACCACATGGGTGCCCCCAGCCCCACGTGGGTGCCCTCAGCCCCACCTGGGTGACCCCAGTGACCACGTGGGTGCCCCCCACATGGGTGACCCCAGTGACCACATGGGTGTCCCCAGCCCCAAACAGGTGCCCCCCCAGGTGCCCCCAGCCCCACCTGGGTGACCCCAGTGACCACATGGGTGCCCCCACCCCACATGGGTGCCCCCAGCCCCACACAGGTGCCTCCACCAGTGCCCCCAGCCCCACCTGGATGACCCCAGTGACCACGTGGGTACCCCCAGCCCCACTCAGGTGCTCCCACAGGTACCCCCAGCCCCACTCAGGTGCTCCCACAGGTACCCCCAGTGACCACATGGGTGCCCCCAGCCCCACATGGATGACCCCAGTGACCACATGGGTGCCCCCAGCCCCACTCAGGTGCCCCCCCAGGAGCCCCCAGCCCCACACAGGTGCCCCCACAGGTACCCCCAGCCCCACATGGGTGATCCCAGCCCCACCTGGATGACTCCAGTGACCACATGGGTGCCCCCAGCCCCCCACAGGTGCCCCCACAGGTGCCCCCAGCCCCACGTGGGTGACCCCAGCCCCACCTGGATGACTCCAGTGACCATGTGGGTGCCCCCAGCCCCACTCAGGTGCCCCCACCAGTGCCCCCAGCCCCACCTGGGTGACCCCAGTGACCACAGGGGTGCCCCCAGCCCCACATGGGTGACCCCAGTGACCACTGGGGTGCCCCCAGCCCCATGTGGGTGCCCCCAGCCCCCCACAGGTGCCCCCACCGGTGCCCCCAGCCCCACCTGGGTGACCCCAGTGACAACATGGGTGCCCCCAGCCCCACTCAGGTGCCCCCGCAGGTGCCCCCAGCCCCCCACAGGTGTGCCCAGCCCCACTCAGCTGCCCCCCCAGGTGCCCCCAGCCCCACATGGGTGCCCTCACCAGTGCCCCCAGCCCCATGTGGGTACCCCCAGCCCCACACAGCTGCCCCCCCAGGTGCCCCCAGCCCCACTCAGGTGCCCCCCCAGGTGCCCCCAGCCCCATGTAGGTGCCCCCAGCCCCACTCAGGTGCTCCCCCAGATGCCCCCAGCCCCACACAGCTGCCCCCACAGGTGCCCCCAGCCCCACTCAGGTGCCCCCCCAGGTGCCCCCAGCCCCACATGGGTGGCCCCAGCCCCACACAGGTGCCCCCAGCCCCACTCAGGTGCCCCCACATGTACCCCCAGCCCCACACAGCTGCCCCCCCAGGTGCCCCCAGCCCCCGCAGTGCCCCACAGGTGCCCTCACCTCCTTGTAGAGCGAGTAGAGGAAGACGATGGTCTGGATGGTCTTGCCCAGCCCCATCTCGTCGGCCAGGATGGTGTCGGTGCTCTGGGCCCACGAGAAGCGCAGCCAGTTCAGCCCCTCCAGCTGGTACAGGTGCAGCGTCCCGCCCGTGGCCGTGATGAAGCGCGGCTGCGTCTCGTACTTCACCGTGGGCTGCGGGGACACGGCTGTCACACGGGGACACGCCACCCGGACACCCCCGGGGCTGGGGAGGACATGGAGGGGTCACAGGGCTCAGGGGAACCGGGTCTGGGGGGACTCAGGGCGCCCCAAAAACTCCCACGGGGCTGGGCAGGACTGCAGGAGGGGGCACAGGGCTCAGGGGAACCGGGTTTGGGGGGACTCAGGGCACCCCAAAAACTCCCACGGGGCTGGGAAGGACGTGGAGGGGTCACAGGGCTCAGGGGAACCAGGTTTGGGGGGGACTCAGGGCACCCCAAAAACTCCCACGGGGCTGGGAAGGACGTGGAGGGGTCACAGGGCTGAGTGGAACCAGGTCTGGGGGGGCTCAGGGCACCCCAAAAACCCCCAGGGGGATGGGAAGGACGTGGAGGGGTCACAGGGCTCAGAGGAACCAGGTTTGGGGGGACTCAGGTGTTCAGGACACCCCAAAAATCTCCAGGCTGGGAAGGAGGTGGAGGTGTTGGGAGGCTCAGGTGTGTCAGGGTGAACCGGGTTTGGGGTACCCGGGTTTTTGGGGTACCCGGGTTTGGGGGTGCCGTGTTTTTGGAGTGCCCAGTTTTTGGGGTACCCAGGTTTTTGGGGTGCTGGGTTTTAGGGGTGCTGGGTTTTTGGGGTACCTAGGTTTTGGGGGTGCCTGGGTTTTTGGGGTGCTGGGATTTTGGGGTACCGGGTTTTGGGGTCACTCACGTCGTTGGTGGGCGAGTCGGGGGGTCCCTCCCCCGGCGTCTCCTTCTTCTTCTTCTTGTAACGGCGCGGCTGGGCCGGGTCCTCCCCCATGAACACCTCCCTGGGGACACCAGGGGACATCGGGGGGACACGGGGACACAGGGGGACATCAGGGGACACAGGGGGACATTGGGGGGACATCGGGGGGACATCAGGGACATCAGGGACACAGGGGGACATCAGGGACATCAGGGACATCAGGGGGACATTGGGGACATGAGGGGGACATCGGGGACATGGGGAGACATCGGAGACATCAGGGTGACATTGGGGACATCAGGGACACCACGGGACACCAGGGGGACATCGGGGACATCGGGGGACACCAGGGACACAGAGAGACACCAGGGGGACATCAGGGGGACATTGGGGACATCAGGGACAAAGGGGGACACCAGGGGGACACAAGGGGACATTGGGGACACCAGGGGACATGAGGGAACATCAGGGACACCAGGGGACATGAGGGGACACAGAGGGACACCGGAGTGGGACAGGAAACGAGCAGGACACAGGGACACGGGGGTGGTGACACAGGGACACACAGACACGAGGCCATGGGGACACGGGGACAGACAGCGGTGACAGGGACACGAGGGGATCACAGGGACATGAACGGGGACAAGGGACACACAGGGGGGTGACACGGGGACATGGGGCAGCGTGAGAGCATTGCGGGATGCCGCGTCCCCCATGTCCCCAGTGTCCCCCCCAGTGAACATCCCAATGTCCCCAGTGTCCATCCCAGTGTCCCTCACCGGTGTTTCCAGTAGGCACATCCCTGTAACCCTGATGTCCCCAATGTCCCCAATGTCCCCAGTGTCCCCAGTGTCCCCAGTGTCCCCAGTGTCCCTCACCGGTGTTTCCAGTAGGCACATCCCTGTAACCCCGATGTCCCCAATGTCCCCAATGTCCCCCCCAATGTCCCCCCCAGTGTCCCCAGTGTCCCTCACCGGTGTTTCCAGTAGGCACACCCCAGTGTCCCCGATGTCCCCAATGTCCCCAATGTCCCCCCCAGTGTCCCTCACCGGTGTTTCCAGTAGGCACATCCCAGTAACCCCGATGTCCCCAGTGTCCCCAGTGTCCCCAGTGTCCCTCACCGGTGTTTCCAGTAGGCACATCCCAGTGTCCCCGATGTCCCCAGTGTCCCCCCAGTGTCCCTCACCGGTGTTTCCAATAGGCACATCCCTGTAACCCCGATGTCCCCAATGTCCCTCCCAGTGTCCCCAGTGTCCCCAGTGTCCCTCACCGGTGTTTCCAGTAGGCACATCCCAGTAACCCCGATGTCCCCAATGTCCCTCCCAGTGTCCCCAATGTCCCCCCCAGTGTCCCTCACCGGTGTTTCCAGTAGGCCAGCTTGTGCAGGTCGTAGTCGGGGATGGGCATCTCGTCCTCCTCCCAGGTGGCCTGGTCGTAGGGCAGGTCCCGCCACTTCACCAGGTAGTGGTACTGCCCCTTCCGGTCCACGCTGCGGCACCGGGGGCACGTCACCGCGGGCACGGGGACATGGGGGCACGGGGACAGCGGGGGCATGGGGACACCGGGGGCATGGGGGCACCGGGGGCATGGGGACACCGGGGGCATGGGGACACCGGGGGGACAGGGACACCGGGGGCATGGGGACACTGGGGGCACATCACCGCGGGCACGGGGACATGGGGGCATGGGGACACTGAGGGCATGGGGACACCGCGGGCACGGGGACACCGGGGGCATGGGGACACTGGGGGCACGTCACCGGGGGCATGGGGACACCGCGGGCACGGGGACACCGGGGACACGGGGACATGGGGGCACGGGGACACCGGGGGCATGGGGACACCGGGGGCACGTCACGGGGGCACGGGGACACCGGGGACACCGGGGACACCGGGGGCACGGGGACACCGGGGACACGGGGACACCTGGGGCACGGGGACACCAGGGGGCACGGGGACACCCGGGGCATGGCCTCACCGGGGGCACAGGGACACCCGGGGCATGGGGACACCAGGATACCGCGGGGACACCGGGGACACTCAGGGTCACCCAGGGACACAGTGTCACCCAGGGCATGGGGACACCGGGACACACGGGGACACTGGGGACACATGGGGACACTGCATCACCCGGGGCACGGGGACACTGGGGACACGCGGGGACACCGTGTCACCCAGGGCATGGGGACACCGGGGACACCGCGGGGACACTGGGGACACCACAGGGTCACGTGAGGACACGGAGGGGACACGGGGACACTGGGACACAGGGAGGTGACACACGGTCACCTGGGGACAGTGCCACAGGCAGGGGACACCGGGGCCAGTGTCACACAGGACACCTGGGGACAGTGCCACAGGCAGGGGACATCGGGGACAGTGTCACACAGAACCCCTGGGGACAGTGCCACAGGCAGGGGACATTGGGGACAGTGTCACACAGGACACCTGGGGACAGTGCCACAGGCAGGGGACATCGGGGCCAGTGTCACACAGAACCCCTGGGGACAGTGCCCGACCATTCCAGTGGGTGCTGGGGGCGCCCCTGGGGGTCCCAGGGGTGCCCAGAATGTCCCCATGGGTGCCACCAGTGTCCCCACACCCTCCCTTGGTTACACCCCTCGCCCACCCCCCTGTCCCCCGGTCCCCTGGGGATTTGGGGTGCCCCAGGGTGATCTGGGGTGGCCTGGAGGACATTTGGGGTGCCCGGGAGGACTTTTGGGGTGCCCTGGAGGACTTTTGGGGTACCCTGGAGGACTTTTGGGGTACCCTGGAGGATATTTTGGGCACCCTGGAGGATATCTGGGGTGCCCCGGAGGATTTTTGGGGTGCCCTGGAGGATATTTTGGGTGCCCTGGAGGATATTTGGGCGCCCTGGAGGATATCTGGGGTGCCCTGGAGGACATTTGGGGTACCCTGGAGGACATTTGAGGTGCCCCAGAGGAGATTTGGGGTGCCCCGGAGGACATTTGGGGTGCCTCAGAGGATATTTGGGGCAGCCTGGAGGACATTTGGGGTGCCCTGGAGGACTTTTGGGGTGCCCTGAAGGACATTTGGGGTGCCCCGGAGGACTTTTGGGGTGCCCCAGAGGACTTTTGGGGTGCCCTGAAGGATATCTGCGGTACCCCGGAGGAGATTTGGGGTGCCCCAGAGGACATTTGGGGTGCCCTGGAGGACATTTGGGGTGCCCTGGAGGATATTCTGGGGTGCCCCAGGGTGATTTGGGGTGCCCTGGAGGATATTTGGGGTGCCCTGGAGGACTTTTGGGGTGCCCTGGAGGACATTTGGGTGCCCTGGAGGATATTTGGGGTGCCCCGGAGGACTTTTGGGGTGCCCTGGAGGACTTTTGGGGTGCCCTGGAGGATATCTGGGCATGCCTCAAGGGGAAATTTAGGGGTGCCCTAAAGGATATTTGGCAGTGCCCTGGAGGATATCTGGGGGAGTCTCAAGGGGGAATTTAGGGGTGCCCCGGAGGACTTTTGGGGTGCCCTGCAGGACATTTGGGGTGCCCTGGAGGACATCTGGGGTGCCCTGCAGGATATTTGGGGTCCCCGGAGGACTTTTGGGGTGCCCCGGAGGACTTTTGGGGTGCTCCGGACATTTGGGGTGCCCTGCAGGACATCTGGGGTACCCTGGAGGACATTTGGGGTGCCCCAGAGGACATTTGGGGTGCCCCGGAGGACATTTGGGGTGCCCTGGAGGACATTTGGGGTGCCCTGAAGGACATTGGGGTGCCCTGCAGGATATTTGGGGTACCCTGGAGGACATTTGGGGCACCCTGGAGGATATCTGGAGTGACCTGAAGGACATTTGGGGCGCCCCAGAGGACTTTTGGGGTGCCCCGGAGGACTTTTGGGATGCCCTGCAGGATATCTGGGGTGCCCCGGAGGACATTTGGGGTGCCCCGGAGGACATTTGGGGTGCCCTGGAGGACTTTTGGGGTGCCCTGCAGGATTTTTGGGGTGCCCCAGACATTTGGGGTGCCCTGAAGGATATTTGGGGTACCCTGAAGGACATTTGGGGTGCCCTGGAGGATATCTGGGGTACCCTGCAGAATATCTGGGGTGCCCCAGAGGACATTTGGGGTGCCCCGGAGGACTTTCGGGGTGCCCACCTGTGGTTGATGATGCGGTGCACCGTCATCCACTCGGGTTTGATGCCGTAGCGGTAGAAGCGCTCCTCCATGCCCCCGAAAAGGGGGTCCCCCCCTGCGCCCCGCTTCTCGCTCTTGGGGTCGTCGTCCCCGGAGCCGTAGTCCAGGGGAGGGGGCTCGTCCATGTCGTTCTTGCGCTGGTAGTTCCGGTACATCACCAGGTGGAAGATCTCCAGCTGCGCCCCGAAACCACAGAGGACACCCCAAAGTTAGGGGGGACGTCCCAGAGTTAGAGGAGAAAACCCCAAAGTTAGAGGGGAACACCCCAAAGTTAGGGGGGACACCCCAAAGTTAGGGGGGAACACCCCAAAGTTAGAGGGGACACCCCAAAGTTAGGGGGGACACCCCAAAGTTAGAGGGGAACACCCCAAAGTTAGAGGAATATCCCAAAGTTAGGGGGGAACATCCCAAAGTTAGAGGGAAAAACCCCAAAGTTAGGGGGAAAAACACCAAAGTTAGGGGGGACACCCCAAAGTTAGAGAAGAAAACCCCCAAAGTTACAGGAGAAAAACCCAGTTAGGGGGAAAACACCCCAAAGTTAGAAGGGAGCATCCCAGAGTAAGAGGAGTATCCCAAAAAATAGAGGGAAAAACCCCAAAGTTAGAAGGGACACCCCAAAGTTAGAGGGAAAAACCCCAAAGTTAGGGGAGAAAAACCCAAAGTTAGGGGGGACACCCCAAAGTTAGAGGGAAAAACCCCAAAGTTAGGGGAAAACCCCAAAGTTAGAGGAACACCCCAAAGTTAGAGAAATATCCCAAAGTTAGAAGGGACACCCCAAAGTTAGACGGGAACACCCCAAAATTAGAGGGGGCACCCTGAAGTTAGAGGCAACATCCCAAAGTTAAAGGGAATCACCCCAAAATTAGAGGGGAGCACCTCAAATTTCAGCCCCTCCAAGTTGTCCAGCTGTCCCCACATACTTTGGGGTGTTCCTCCAGGTTTTTGGGGTGCCCCCCAGGTTTTTGGGGTCCCCCACGATGTTTTGGGGTGCCCCAGGCATACCTGCAGCTCCTTGATCCAGGAGCAGTGCCAGTAGGACAGCCCCCAGGTGCTCCCCCATACTTTGAGGTGCCCCCCCATACTTTGAGGTGTCCCCCAGGATTTTGAGGTGTCCCCCCAGGATTTTGGGGTGCCCCCCAGGATTTTGGGGTGCCCCCCAGGATTTTGGGGGATGTTTTGGGGTGCCCCAGGCGTACCTGCAGCTCCTTGATCCAGGAGCAGTGCCAGTAGGACAGCCCCCAGGTGCTCCCCCATACTTTGAGGTGCCCCCCAGGTTTTTGGGGTGCCCCCCAGGATTTTGGGGTGCCCCCCAGGATTTTGGGGTGCTCAGGCGGACCTGCAGCCCCTTGATCCAGGAGCAGTGCCAGTAGGACAGCCCCAGGTGCTCCCCCATACCTTGAGGTGCTCCCCCATACTTTGAGGTGCCCCCCAGGATTTTGGGGCGCCCCCCAGGATTTTGGGGGATGTTTTGGGGTGCCCCAGGCGTACCTGCAGCTCCTTGATCCAGAAGCAGTGCCAGTAGGACAGCCCCCAGGTGCTCCCCCATACTTTGAGGTGCTCCCCCATACTTTGAGGTGCTCCCCCATACCTTGAGGTGCCCCCCCGGTTTTTGGGGTGCCCCCCAGGATTTTGGGGTGCCCCCCAGGATTTTGGGGTGCCCAGGCGTACCTGCAGCTCCTTGATCCAGGAGCAGTGCCAGTAGGACAGCGCCCAGGTGCTCCCCCATACTTTGAGGTGCCCCCCCATACTTTGAAGTGCTCCCCCCGGTTTTTGAGGTGCCCCCCCGGATTTTGGGGTGCCCCCCAGGATTTTGGGGTGCCCAGGCGTACCTGCAGCTCCTTGATCCAGGAGCAGCGCCAGTAGGACAGCCCCCAGGAGCTCCCCCATACTTTGAGGTGTTCCCCCATACTTTGAGGTGCTCCCCCATACTTTGAGGTGCCCCCCAGGTTTTTGGGGTGTCCCCCAGGATTTGGGGTCCCCCCCGAAGTTTTGGGGTGCCCAGGCGTACCTGCAGCTCCTTGATCCAGGAGCAGTGCCAGTAGGACAGCCCCCAGGTGTTCCCCCATACTTTGAGGTGCTCCCCCATACTTTGAGGTGCCCCCCAGGATTTTGGGGTGCCCCCCAGGATTTTGGGGTGCCCCAGGCGTACCTGCAGCTCCTTGATCCAGGAGCAGTGCCAGTAGGACAGCCCCACCCACTTGACGAAGAACTCGCGCTCGGAGCGGCCCTGCAGGGCCTGGGGGGGCCCCTCCTGGGCCTGGGGGGCGCCGGGGGGGGCCACGGGGGCGGGGGGCTCCCCCCAGCGCCAGTACAGGATCTTCTGCACGCGCCCCTTCAGCACCGGGCACTGCGGACAGGGACATGCTGGGGACACTGGGGACACTGGGGACATGCTGGGGACATGCTGGGGACACGCTGGGGACACTGCTGGGGACACTGCTGGGGACATTGGGGACACCGGGGACACGCTGGGGACACTGCTGGGGACACTGCTGGGGACATTGGGGACACCGGGGACACGCTGGGGACACTGCTGGGGACACTGGGGACACACTGGGGACACGGTGGGGACACCCAGGGGAGCGGGCCTAGGGCTGTGCCCCAAGGTGGGGCCCTGCGCTGGCCCCGTGGTCACAGTGTCCCCACGTCCCCATAACCCCACCAGCGTCCCCATGTCCCACAGCATCATGTCCCCATAACCCCATGTCCCCACAGTGTCCCCATGTCCCCCAGTGCCCCTATATCCCCCCATGTCCCCACAGCATCCCCAAGGCCCCACGTCCCCATAACCCCATGTCCCACAGTGTCCCCATGTCCCCAGTGTCCCTATATCCCCCCATGTCCCCATAGCGTCCCCATGGCCCCATGTCCCCATAGCCCTATGTCCCCACAGCATCCCCACGTCCCCATGTCCCCACCAGCGTCCCCATGTCCCCACCAGCGTCATGTCCCCATAACACCATGTCCCTACAGTGTCCCCATGTCCCCAGTGCCCCTATATCCCCCCATGTCCCTACAGTGTCCCCATGCACCTGTAGTATCCCCATGTCCCCCCCATCCCCACATCCCTGTATCGCCCACACAGCTCCATGTCCCCATGTCCCCCACAGCCCCATGTCCCCCCACACCCCCGGTGTCCCTGTTTTCCCCCCACACCCCCGGTGTCCCCGTTTCTCCCCATGTCCCCGTGCCCCCCACACCCCCGGTGTCCCCATGTCCCCCCACACCCCCGCTGTCCCCATGTCCCCCCACACCCCCGCTGTCCCCATGCCCCCCACACCCCCCATGTCCCCCACACCCCCGGTGTCCCCGTGTCCCCCACACCCCCAGTGTCCCCGTTTCCCCCCCCACATCCCCATGTCCCCGTGCCCCCCACACCCCCGGTGTCCCCGTTTTCCCCCCATGTCCCCGTTTCCCCCCCATGTCCCCATGCCCCCCACACCCCCGGTGTCCCCCACACCCCCGGTGTCCCCATGTCCCCCACACCCCCCATGTCCCCGTTTTCCCCCCCAGCCCCGGTGTCCCCGTTACCGTGCAGCGGGGACAGAGCCACTCGCCGTTGGGGACCTCGGGCAGGGGCGGGTTGAGGCAGTGGATGTGGTAGGAGGACACGCAGGCGTCGCAGCACAGCAGCTCCCCGCCGTCCTTGCACACGCGGCAGTACTCCATGTGGTCATCTTCCTCCTCCTTCTCGCCCTCCTCCTCCTCCTCTTCCTCCTCCTCCTCCTCCTCCTTGGCCTCCCACTGCACGCCCTCCTTCTCCTGGGGACGGGCGGGGTCAGAGGGGAGACCCCAAAACAGCCCCTGGACACCCCAAAACAGCCCCTGGACACCCCAAAACAGACCCTGGACACCCCAAAACAGCCCCACAGGGACAGACAGAGCACCAGGGAAGGACCAAACAGCCCCTGGAGACCCCAGAACAGCCCCTGGAGACCCCAAACTGCCAGGGAATGGCCCCAAACTGCCAGGGAACGGCCCCAAAACAGCCCCTGGACACCCCAAAACAGCCCCTGGACACCCCAAACTGCCAGGGAACGGCCCCAAAACAGCCCCTGGACACCCCAGAACTCCTGGAGACACCCAAACCTCCAGGGAATGGCCCCGAGGTACTCCCAGGACACCCTAAATGACCTCCAACCCCTCCAAACGCCCTCCAACCTCCCCTTATAAACCCCCAGCATCCCCTCAAACCCCCCAGTGCCCCGAGGATGCCCCTAGACCCTGCCCCAGGATGCCCCAGTGTCCCCCAGTCCCCTCCCAGTCCCCTCCCAGTGCCCCCCAGTGTCCTCAGGATGCTCCTAGACCCCCCCCAGGATGTCCCCAGTGCCCCCCAACACCATCCCAGTCCCCTCAGGATGTCCCCAGTGCCCCCCAGTCCTTCCCAGTCCCCTCCCAGTGCCTTCAGGATGCCCCCAGTCCCCTCCCAGACCCCTCAAGATGCCCCCAGTGCCCTCCCAGTGCCCTGAGGATGCCCCCAGTACCCTCCCAGTGCCCTCCCAGTCCCCTGAGGATGTCCCCAGTCCCCTTCCAATGCCCTGAGGATGCTCCCAGTGCCCTCCAGTGCCCCCAGTTCCCTCCCAGTCCCCTTCCAATGCCCTGAGGATGCTCCCAGTGCCCTCCAGTGCCCCCAGTTCCCTCCCAGTCCCCTTCCAATGCCCTGAGGATGCCCCCCAGTCCCTCCCAGTGCCCTGAGGACGCCCCCAGTGCCCTCCCAGTGCCCCCCAGTGCCCCCCAGTACCCTCCCAGTGCCCCCCAGTGCCCCCCAGTCCCTGCCCGTGCCCCGGGGCGGCGCTCACGCAGTGGGGGCAGCTCCAGCGTCCCTCGGGGGCGCGGTCCAGCTCGGGGTCCAGGCACACCAGGTGGTAGGCGCGGGGGCAGGTGTCGCACAGGATGATCTCCCCGCCCTGCTGGCACACCTCGCAGTAGTCCTGGTGGTCCGTCTCGTAGCCATCGCCCTCCTCCTCCGGGCCCGGCCCTGCGGGGATGGTGGCACCGCTGTCACTGCTGTCACTGCGGTCACCGCTGTCACTGCGGCCACCGCTGTCACCGCTGTCACCGATGTCACCGTGGCCACCGCGCCCGCAGGGGCTCGTGGGGGCAATGGGGACAGGCATGGGGTCATGGGGACAGTGGAAGAACTGGGGACAGGGATTGGGACACTGGGGGCATTGGAGGAACTGGGGATGGGGACATGGGGACACTGGGGACAGAGAGATGGGGGCACTGGGGACAGGTATGGGGACATGGGGACAGTGGGTGAACTGAGGACAGGGATGGGGACATGGGGACACTGGGGGCACTGGGGACAGAGAGATAGGGGCACTGCGGACAGGTATGGGGACATGGGGACACTGGGGATGGGGACATGGGGACACTGGGGGAACTCGGGATGGGGACATGGTGACACTGGGGGCACTGGGGACAGGGATGGGGAAATGGGAACACTGGGGGAACTGGGGATGGGGACATGGGGACACTGGGGGAACTGGGGACAGGGATGGGGACATGGGGACACTATGGGAACTGGGGACAGGCATGGGAACATGGGGACACTGGGGACACTGGGACAACTGGGGATGAGGACATGGGGACACTGGGGGAACTGGGGACAGGGATGGGGACATGGGGACAGTGGGGACAGGGATGGGGACATGGGGACACTATGGGAACTGGGGACAGGCATGGGAACATGGGGACATTGGGGATAGGGATGGGGACACTGGGGACAGACATGGGGACACTGGGGATGGGGACATGGGGACACTGGGGGAACTGGGGATGGGGACATGGGGACACCAGGAACAGAGAGATGGGGACGTGGGGACCAGGACAGGGACATGGGGACACTGGGGGAACTGGGGATGGGGCTGAGGGGCACTGGGGACAGGGGGCTCAGGAGTGGGGACATGGGGACACTGGGAAAAGAGAGATGGGGACACTGGGGACAGGGACAGGGACACTGGGGGAGCTGGAGACAGGGCTGGGGACACGGGGACAGGGCTGGGGACATGGGGACAGGGCTGGGGACATGAGGACAGGGCTGGGGACAGGGGAACAGGGCTGGGGACACGGGGACAGGGCTGGGGACACAGGGGCAGGGCTGGGGACATGGGAACAGGGCTGGAACACAGGGACAGGGCTGGGGACACAGGGACAGGGCTGGGGACACGGGGACAGGGCTGGGGACACGGGGACAGGGCTGGGGACACGAGGACAGGGCTGGGGACACCTTGGGGACACCCCTGAGAGGACACCGGGGCTGGGGACCCCCCCAGCCACCACCACCGGGCTGGAGACAGAGACAGGACGGCGGCCCCCGCTCGGTGCGGGGACACCCGTGGGGGTTTGGGGACCCCGGGTGACACCTCGGGGACACTTGGGGCGTCTCACCGTGCGCGGGCGCCGCGCCCGTCCCCGCGGGGCCGCGCTCCCGGCCCGGCCCGGCGCCGGGGGCTGCAAGGAGAGACGGGGGAGGGGACACGGGGATGTCACCCGGCCGTCCCCATCCCCAGCGGGGTGGCGGTGGTGGCTCGGGGACGCTCACCCTTCTTCTTCTTGCGCCCGGGGCGGCCCCTCTTGAGCTTCTTGAGGCGCGTGGTGGGGTCGGGGCGGGGGGTGGCCCCCAGCACCCCGGGGCTCTCGGCGTCCGACTCCTCCTCGGCCTCGCCCGCGTCCTCGCTCTGCACGGGGACAGCGGGGACAGCAGCGGGTCACCGGGGACAGCAGCGGGTCAGTGGGGACAGTGGGGACAGCAGCGGGTCAGTGGGGACAGCAGCGGGTCAATGGGGACAGCGGGGACAGCAGCGGGTCAATGGGGACAGTGGGGACAGCAGTGGGTCAATGGGGACAGCAGCGGGTCAGTGGGGACAGCGGGGACAGCAGCGGGTCAATGGGGACAGCAGCAGGTCAATGGGGACAGCGGGGACAGCAGCGGGTCAGTGGGGACACCGGGGACAGCAGCGGGTCACCGGGGACAGCAGCGGGTCACCGGGGACAGCAGCGGGTCAGTGGGGACAGTGGGGACAGCAGGGACAGCAGCGGGTCAATGGGGACAGCAGCGGGTCAGTGGGGACAGCGGGGACAGCAGCGGGTCAATGGGGACAGCAGCGGGTCAGTGGGGACAGCGGGGACAGCAGCGGGTCACCGGGGTGTCCCCAGTCCCAGTGCTTCCAGTGCTCCCAGTGCCCCCTGCCCTGTCCCCCAGTGCCCCCCTGCCCTGTCCCCATAGTGACCCCACTGCTCCCAGTGCCCTCCTGCCCTGTCCCCCAGTGTCCCCATTCCCCCCCTGCCGTGTCCCCCAGTGCTCCCAGTGCTTCCAGTGTCCTCTGCCCTGTCCCCCAGTTATCCCAGTGTCCCCAGTGCCCTCCTGCCCTGTCCCCCAGTTATCCCAGTGTCCCCTGCCGTGTCCCCCAGTTATCCCAGTGCCCCCTGCCCTGTCCCCCAGTGTCCCCAGTGCTCCCAGTGCCCCCTGCCCTGTCCCCCAGTGCTCCCAGTGCCCCCTGCCCTGTCCCCCAGTTATCCCAGTGCCCCCTGCCCTGTCCCCCAGTGCCCCCAGTGCCCCCTGCCCTGTCCCCCAGTGCCCCCAGTGCTCCCAGTGCTCCCAGTGCCCCTCAGGGCACTCACCGAGCTGCTCTTCTTGCGTTTGCCTCCCAGTACTCCCAGTTTGATCTTGAGCGGGGCCATCTTCCTGCCCTTCATCTTCCTCTTCAGCTCGGGCACCCGCGGGCTCTTGCTGCGCTTCTTGTGCCCGGGGCCTGGGGGGCACGGGGGGTCAGGGACCCCAAAACTGCCACAGGGACCCCAAACCGCCACAGGGACCCCAAAGCGCCACAGGGACCCCCCCTACACCACCCCCAAACCACCCCAGGGGCCCCCAAAGCGCCCCAGGGACCCCAAACCGCCACAGGGACCCACAAACCACCCCGGGGACCCCCCTCAACCACCCTAGGGACACCTCAAATCACACAGGGACTCCCAAACCTCCCCAGTAACTCTCCAAACCTCCCCAGTAACTCCCCAAACCCCCTCAGTAACCCCCCAAACCCCCTCAGTAACCCCCCAAACCCCCCCCAGTGACCCCCAAACCCCCCCAGTGACCCCCAAACCCCCTCAGTAACTCCCCAAACCCCCCCAGTGACCCCAAACCCCCCCAGTAACTCCCCAACCCCCCCCCAGTAACTCCCCAAACCCCCCCAGTAACTCCCCAAACCCCCTCAGTAACTCCCCAAACCCCCCCATAACTCCCCAACCCCCCCATAACTCCCCAAACCTCCCCAGTAACCCCCAAACCCCACCCCAAACCCCCTCAGTAACCCCCCAAACCCCCTCAGTGATCCCCAAACCCCCCCAGTAACTCCCCAAACCCCCTCAGTAACCCCCCAAACCCCCTCGGTAACTCCCCAAACCCCCCCCAGTAACTCCCCAACTCCCCCCCATAACTTCCAAAACCCCCCATAACTCCCCACACCCCCCCATAACTCCCCAACTCCCCCCAAACCTCCCCAAACTCCCCCCCATAACTCCCAATTCCCCCCATAACTCCCCAAATCCCCCCCATAACTCCCCAACTCCCCCTCAGTAACCCCCCAAACACCCCCAGTGACCCCCAACCTCCCCCATAACTCCCCAAACCCCCTCAGTAACTCCCCAAACCCCCCCCAGTAACCCCCACCCACCCGAGGGTGACCCCACAGACCCGTGGGGTACCCCCAGCCCCCCCAGGGTGGGTGGGGACCCCTGCCCACCTTTGCCCTCCTTGGTCTTGGCCTTGCGCAGGGGCGGGGGCGGCGCCTCGGGGGCCACGGCGGCCACGGCGGCCGACACCTGCTCGGCCACGGCGGCAGCGGCGGCGGCGGCGGCCGCGGCCACGGCGGCGGCCGAGCCCTTGAAGGGGTTGTTGGCGCTGAACTCCCTCCACTTGGCCCCCAGGATGGTCATCATCTTGGACATGGGGATCTTGGGGTTCTTCTTGGCGATCAGCGGCCTGCGGAGGGAGGGCCCATGTGGGTCCAGAGGGTGGGGTGGGTGTGGGTCAGCAGGGAGGGCAGGGAGGGACGGCTCTGGCCCTGCCGGGGTGGCCTGATGGCCACAGAGCGGCCTGGGGGGCCCAGGGTCACTGGGGATCCTGGGGTGGCCCTGGGGTCACTCAGGATGCCTGGGGTCACTCAGGATGCCTGGACAACCCTGGGGTCACTCAGGATCCCTGGACAGCCCTGGGGTCACTCAGGATCCCTGGGGTCACTCGGGATCCCTGGGGTCACTCAGGATCCCTGGGGTCACTCGGGATCCCAGGGTGGCCCTGGGGTCATTCAGGATCCCTGGGGTCACTCAGGATCTAGGGGAGGCCCTGGGGTCATTCAGGATCCCTGCGGCCACTCTGGATCCCAGGACAACCCTGGGGTCACTCAGGATCCCTGGGGTCACTCGGGATCCCTGGACAACCCTGGGGTCACTCAGGATCCCTGGGGTCACTCGGGATCCCTGGGGTCACTCGGGATCCCTGGGGTCACTCGGGATCCCGGGGTGGCCCTGGGGTCATTCAGGATCCCAGGACAGTCCTGGGGTCACTCAGGATCCCTGGACAGCCCTGGGGTCACTCAGGATCTAGGGGTGGCCCTGGGGTCATTCAGGATCCTTGTGGTCACTCTGGATCCCTGGACAACCCTGGGGTCACTCAGGATCCCTGGGGTCACTCAGTGGTCACTCAGGATCCCAGGACAGCCCTGGGGTCACTCAGGATGCCTGGGGTCACTCAGGATCCCAGGACAGCCCTGGGGTCACTCAGGATCCCTGGGGTCACTCAGGACCATCAGGTGTCCCCCACCAGGTCCCTAAAGTGTCCCCAGACATGCAAAGGGACCCTCAGTGTACCCCCCCCAAACCCCCGGGACCCCTGAGGTGCCCCCCAAGCACCCAGAGGGACCCCCAGGACCCCTGAGGTGCCCCCCAAAGACCCAGAGGGACCCTCAGAGTGCCCCCCAAACACCCAGAGGGACCCCCAGGACCCCTGAGGTGCCCCCCAAAGACCCAGAGGGACCCTCAGAGTGCCCCCCAAACACCCAGAGGGACCCTCAGGACCCCTGAGGTGCCCCCCAAACACCCAGAGGGACCCCCAGGAGCCCCGGGGTGCCCCCAGCCCCACCTCATGAACTGGCTGAAGGCCTTGTAGTTGGTGAGGGTGTGATAATCCTCCTCGGTGAAGACGTGGTCCACGTCCTCCAGCCCCCAGGCCCCCAGCAGCTGCGCCGAGGACTTCTGCTCCACCGCCTGCTCGGGGACACGGGGGACACCAGGTGACACCAGGGGACACGGGGGGACATGGGGGACATGGGGGACACGGGGGACATGGGGGGACACCAGGGGACACGGGGGGACACGGGGGACACCGGGGACATGGGGGACACGGGAGCAGGGGCAGGAGGAGGAGGAGAAGGAGACACGTCACTTGTCGGGACCCCTGAAGGACCCCACGGGGCTGATGGGACCCCCATGAGGAGCAGAGGGGAGATGGGACCCCCCTGTGGGCACCCAAGGGGTTTGGGGACCACCACAGGGACCCACACAGTGATGGGACCCCCATGAGAGCCCCACAGAGTGAGAGAACCCCACAAAACCCCACACAGGTGTTGGGACTCCCATGAGGACCCCATGGAGTGACAGAACCCCTCAGGACCTCCATGAGAGCCCCACACAGGTGATGGGACCCCCATGAGAACCCCACACAGGTGATGGGACCCCCATGAGGACCCCACACAGTGACAGAACCCCAAAAGGTGCTGGGACCACCATGAAAACCCCATAGAGGGACAGGACCCCACAAAGAACCCCCATGAGAACCCCACACAGGTGTTGGGACCCCCATGAGGACCCCACACAGTGACAGAACCCCAAAAGGTGCTGGGACCACCATGAAAACCCCATAGAGGGACAGGACCCCACAAAGAACCCCCATGAGAACCCCACACAGGTGTTGGGACCCCCATGAGGACCCCACACAGGTATCAGGACCCCCATAAGGACCCCACAAAGGTGCTGGGACCCCCATGAGAACCCCACACAGGTATCAGGACCCCCATGAGAACCCCACACAGGTATCAGGACCCCCATGAGGACCCCACACAGGTGTAGGGACCCCCATGAGAACCCCACACAGGTGCTGGGACCCCCATGAGGACCCCACACAGGTATCAGGACCCCCATGAGGACCCCACCCAGGTGTGGGGACCCCCATGAGGACCCCACACAGGTATCAGGACCCCCATGAGGACCCCACACAGGTGCTGGGACCCACATGAGAACCCCACACAGGTATCAGGACCCCCATGAGGACCCCACACAGGTGCTGGGACCCACATGAGAACCCCACACAGGTATCAGGACCCCCATGAGGACCCCACACAGGTGTGGGGACCCCCATGAGGACCCCACACAGGTATCAGGACCCACATGAGGACCCCACACAGGTATCAGAACCCACATGAGGACCCCACACAGGTGATGGGACCCCCATGAGAACCCCACACAGCTATCAGGACCCCCATGAGAACCCCACACAGGTGCTGGGACCCACATGAGGACCCCACACAGGTGCTGGGACCCACCCCAGCACCCCCAGTTCCCCGCACAGGGCAGCACCGGGGGATCCCCCAGTGCCCCCCACCCCGGGGTGCCCCCCAGGCCGTACCTTGACCTTCTGCCCCCCCTCATCGTCGGCCTTTTTCCGCCTCTTGGTTTTCTTCTCCTTCTTCTCGCGGTGCTTCCGCCGCCGCTTCCGCGCCGCCCCGCCCGAGTCGCTGCCGCCGCTCTCCGACTTCTCCCGGTACTCCTCGCGGGGGTACTCGTCCCGCTCCGACTCCAGCTCATCCTCGCTCACCTGGGCGCCCCAAAAACACCCCAAAAACACCCCAAAACTGTCAGTGACCTTGAGAGCCCCCCTCGGTCACCCTGAGACCCCTGAACCACACCAGGACCCCCTGAGCCACTCCCCGTACTCCTCGCGGGGGTACTCGTCCCGCTCCGACTCCAGCTCATCCTCGCTCACCTGGGCGCCCCAAAGACACCCCAAAGACACCCCAAAACCACCCCAAAAACACCCCAAAACTGTCACTGGCACTGAGATCCCCCCTCAGTCCCACCAGGACCCTGTCAGGCACCCTCAGAACCCCATCAGAGATCCCAGAGACCCCCATCAGCCACCCCCAAACCATCACCCGTCCCCAGACACTGTCACCTGTCCCCAGACCCTGTCACCTGTCCCCACCCATTGTCCTCAGACCCTGTCACCTGTCCTTCACCCCACCCATTGTCCCCAGACCCTGTCATCTGTCCCTGACCCCACCCATTGTCCCCAGACCCTGTCACCTGTCCCCACCCATTGTCCCCAGACCCTGTCACCTGTCCCCAGACCCTGTCACCTGTCCCCATCCATTGTCCCCAGACCCTGTCACCTGTCCCCAGACCCCACCCATTGTCCCCAGACCCTGTCACCTGTCCCTGACCCCATCCATTGTCCCCAGACCCTGTCACCTGTCCCCTGACCCCACCCATTGTCCCCAGACCCTGACACCTGTCCCCAGACCCTGTCACCCGTCCCTGAGCCCAGGAGCACCCACCAGTTTTTTCCGTTTCCGGGGTTTTCCGGGTTTGTTTTCCTTCTGTTTCCGGGGGCCCCTTTTCTTCTTCTTCACCCCCAGGGCCCCCTCGAGGCCCCGCAGCAGCTCCTCGTCACCATCTGTGGGGACACGGTGGCATCAGCCGTGGGGACAGGGACAGGACGGGGACAGGAGAGGGGACAGCAGTGTCACCATCACAGCGATCAAACACCGGTGTCACCGTGACAGTCACCAAACGATGGCAGAGCATTCCCCAACCCTCGCGTGGGGACAGCAGTGACACCGTGACAGTGACCAAGCACTGGTGACACAGTGACAGTCACCAAACGATGGCAGAGCAATCCCCAGCTCTCACTCTGGGGACAGCGGTGACACCGTGACAGTGACTGATGGATGGCAGAGCATTCCCCAACCCTCACGTGGGGACAGCAGTGACACTGACCAAGCACTGGTGACACCGTGACAGTGACCAAACGATGGCAGAGCAATCCCCAACCCTCGCGTGGGGACAGCAGTGACACTGACCCTGCCGACACCGTGACACTGACCAAGCACTGGTGACACCGTGACAGTCACCAAACGATGGCAGAGCATTCCCCAACCCTCGCATGGGGACAGCAGTGACACTGTGACCAAGCCCTGGTGACACAGTGACAGTCACCAAGCACTGGTGACACTGATAGAGACAAAACGATGGCAGAGCATTCCCCAACCCTTGCGTGGGGACAGCGGTGACACCGTGACAGTGACTGATGGATGGCAGAGCATTCCCCAACCCTCACGTGGGGACAGCAGTGACACTGACCAAGCACTGGTGTCACCGTGACAGTGACCAAACGATGGCAGAGCAATCCCCAGCTCTCAGGGGACAGCAGTGTCACCGTGACAGTGACTGAACACCGGTGACACCGTGACAGTGACCAAGGGATGGCAGAGCAATCCCCAGCTCTCGCTCTGGGGACAGCAGTGTCACCGTGACACTGACCCAGCACTGGTGACACGGTGACAGCGACCAAGGGATGGCAGAGCAATCCCCAGCTCTCAGGGGACGGCAGTGACACCGTGACAGTGACTGAACACCAGTGACACCGTGACAGTGACCAACGGATGGCAGAGCAATCCCCAGCTCTCAGGGGACAGCAGTGACACCGTGACACTGACCCAGCACTGGTGACACGGTGACAGGGATGGCAGAGCAATCCCCAGCTCTCGCTCTGGGGACAGCGGTGTCACCAGCCGCCAGCAGAGGATTCCCCAACCCCTCTCACGGGGACACGGGTGTCACGGTGACGGTGACCGAGCGCCAGCAGAGGATTTCCCAAGCCCTTGGCCGAGGGCCACCGGCATCCCCGTGTGACAGGGGCCACCCGTTGTCCCCGGGGCGGTGACACCGCATCCGTGTCACGGCCCCGGCTGTCCCCGCCGCTCTGGCAGCCGCCCGGGGTGACAGCGAGGTGTCGCACGGAGCGGTGTCACATCTGCCAGCCGCTGGCACGGCCCCCGCGCGGCGCGTGCCTGTCCCCGCGGGTCCCCGCGCTGTCACCCGTAAATCACCGCCGGGCTGTCCCCGGGGGGGACACCCGCACGCACACACGGGGGGGTGACAGCGGGTGCCAGGGTTGGCCAGGGGACAGGAAGCAACACCCGGCGCCGCCGGGGTCACATTCCAGCCTAATCCCTTGGCACCGCCGCCTGCCAGCCCCGGGCGGCCGGGCCGGGCGCCGGGACCACCGGCAGCGCCGAGAGCCCCAAAATCTCCTTTTTCCGCCCGTTTTTTACCATGGCGGCAGCGCCGAGGCCCAGCCCGCCCTGTTCCTCCCCCCCCTACACACACACACACACCCCACGCCGCTTCTCGCTTTCCAAATTCCCCTTTTCGCTGGTTTTTCGCCCCAAACCATCACCTGGGGGTGTTGCCGGGGACACGCGGCCGCTGGCGGGGATGGGGCCGAGCCCCTGCGGGCCCGATTCTGCCATTTTTGGGGTGTTTTCCCCCCTTTTCACCCCCCAAATCCAACCCCCCCCGGCCCCATCGGACATGCGCGGGGAGCCGGGGCGCGTTGGCAAAGCATCAACCAGAATTTTCCACACACGTGACGCTCCCACTCCCCGCACCTCGAGAAAAAGGGGAAAAAAAGGGAAAAAACACCAAAAAAAACCCACCCGGGGAAGGGAGCCCCGAGATCCTAAAGCGAAACCCCCTCCTGAGTGGATGAGGGGAGAGAGAAATGAGGGAAAATGGTGGAAATTGCAAATGAAATGCTGAAAGGAGGGGGGGGATAGGTGGAAAAATGGAAAAAATGTAGCAAAAACCACAATAAAAAAAAAAAGAAAAAAAAACTAAAAAAAAAGGGGGAGTGATTCCGGCAAAGGGGAGGAAGGAGTTGGAACAAAGAAAGAGGGAGGGGAGCTCCAAAATGGGGGGAAAAGGGAAAAACTGGGGGAAGAGGCACAGCGGGGAGTGAGGCGCCGCTTCCCCCACGCTGCAGAAATCCCCGATTTGGGCTTTTTTGGGGGTTTTTCCCCCCAGTTTTCCTGCTGCTCCTGGCGCTGGAGCAGCCGGCCAGGCCTTGGCTCAGAACTTGGTGCCAAGTGTGGAAAATCTCAAGTTTAGGTTTGATTTTTGGGGGTTTTTTTAAGGGAAAATTCGGTCGGTTTGGGTGCCCCCCCCCCCAGCCCGGCTGCCGCGGCCTCGCCATTGTTCTCTGCTGGGATGGGCTGAAAACGGCAAAAATCGGGAAAAAAGGAGTAAAAAAAACCCAAACCAACAAGTTTCTGCTGTGGAGGAGGGGGAGGAGTTGGCTTCCCGCTGGGAAAATGGGGAAAAAGTGTTATTTCACCTCAAATCCGGGAAGAGAGGCCAGGCTGCTGCTGATCCGGGGGGGGGAAAGGTTAAAAATGGGCAAAACTTCTGCTCGAGGGGGAGAAAGGTTAATAAAAATAGGGATTTTGGGGGTTAGGGGGAGGAAAAGGTGAAAAAAATGGGGATTTGGGATGTTCTGAGAGGGAAAAGGATAAAAAATGGGGATTGGGGGTGTTTGGGAGAGGAAAAAGGGTAAAAATGGAGATTTAGGGTGGTTGGGGTGGGGGCAAAGTTTTAAAAAGTGAATTTAGGGCTGGTTTGGGGGTGTCTGTGTGTCCCACATGGGATATCTGAGAAAAATAATTCAGGAATTGGTCAAAAAGTGCAGAAAAAGCCAAAGGAAAGGGTCAGGGAAGCAGCAGAAGGTGATTTACCCATTTCTGAGGGGTCTGGGGGGTGGAAAAAAGGGAGGTTAAAATCAAATTTATTCATTCCTGAGCTTTTCTGCAAAAGAGGGAGCTCTAAAATCAGAGTGTGCCAATTTCTGAGCGTTTTGGAGGGGGTTAAAATCCAAATTTGCCCCATTTTGAGCATTTTTGTGAGCTCTGTCATCCAGATGTACCAATTCTCGAGCACTGTGGGGGAAAACTCCCAAATTTACTCATTTTTGAACAATTCTGGGGAAAAGCAGGAGATTGAATTCCAAAATTATCCATTTCTAAGCTTTTCCAGAAACACAAATTGTTCTAAAAGCTGAATTTACTCATTCTTGGGAGCTCCAAAATCCACATTGACCCATTTCTCAGCATTTGGGGGCAAAAAAAAAGGAGTCTGAAATACAAATGTACCAATTTCTGGGCACTTCAGGGCCAAGGAAAAGGTTCCAAACCCCAGATTTAACCCATTTCTAAGCATTTCTGGGGGAAAAGGGGGAAGTAACCCCCAAATGCACTAATTTCTGAACTTTTTGGGAAAAATAAACCTTCTAAAATCTGAATTTATCCACTTCTGAGCCTTTTCAAAGCGAGTGGCTTCACTTTAAATCTGATTTTTTAACCAAACTGACCCCTCTGGGCTTTGAGATGCATTTTCCCCTCATCAGTTTGAGGCCAATAAAAAAAAAAAAAATCAAATTTAATTTGGAAGGGGAAAAAAAACCCTCTTAATTTCAGACAAAAATGGTCAATTTTAGTGTCCCACCTGATGGAAAACCACCAGTAAAGGCATTTGGACCCCCCCACTGGGAATGAGGGTGTGAAAAATGGGAATTTTGGTGCTGAATGCTCTTTTTTGTCCATTTACCACCCGCAGGAGGAGTTGTCAGGGGAAGGGATGAAGGCACCAAACCCCCCCCGGGGCTGGAATTTGGGGTGAAGGCTCAGCTGAGTCGCCGACACCGAGAGGTGGTGGTTGGTAAATAAAAAAAATCCTGATAAAATATGATAAAATGCAATAAAACAATAAAATCCCATGGAAGAGGCTCCCAGCACAGGTCCTGGACAGGACAGAGGTGACACCTGCGGCCATGGGCACCCAAACACCTCAAAATGGGGTGAAATGACCCAATCAGGGTCCTGGAAGGGGAGAAACAGCCTCCAAACACCTCAAAATGGGGTGAAACAACTGATTTAGGTCCTGGAAGGGGAGAAAGAGCCCCCAAACACCTCAAAATGGGGTGAAATAACCCATTCAGGGTCCTGGAAGGGGAGAAACAGACCCCAAACACCTCAAAACGGGGTTATTCAGGTCCTGGAAGGAGAAAAACAACCTCCAAACAACTCAATATTGGATAACACAACCCATTCAGGTCTTGGAAGGGGAGAAACAGCCCCTAAACACCTCAAAATGGGGTGAAACAACGCATTCAGGTCCTGGAAGAGGAGAAACAGCCCCCAAGCACCTCAATATGGGGTGCAACAGCCAACCTGGGTCCTGTCAGGTACCTACAGCCCCCAACACCCCACAAAACAGCCACTCTGGGTCCTGTCAGATGCACAGCAACACCCATCACCTCACACGATGGGGTCAGCGCCCACTTTGGGTCCTGGCAGGGACACAATAGGCCCTGTCATCTGCACTGTGGAGTTCAACAATCACTTTGGGTCCTGGCAGGGGACCACCAGCCCCCATCACCCCACATGATGGGGTCAGAGCCCACTTTGGGTCCTGGCAGGGCACCACCAGCCCCTGTCACCCACATGATGGGGTCAGAGCCCACTTTGGGTCCTGGCAGGGCACCACCAGCCCCCAACACCCCACATGATGGGGTCAGAGCCTACCGTGGGTCCTGGCAGGGCACCACCAGCCCCCATCACCCCACATGATGGGGTCAGCGCCCACTTTGGGTCCTGGCAGGGCACCACCAGCCCCCAACACCCCACATGATGGGGTCAGCACCCACTTTGGGTCCTGGCAGGGCACCACCAGCCCTCACCCCCCACATGATGGGGTCAGCACCCACTTTGGGTCCTGGCAGGGCACCACCAGCCCCCAACACCCCACATGATGGGGTCAGAGCCCACTTTGGGTCCTGGCAGGGCACCACCAGCCCTCATCACCCCACATAATGGGGTCAGAGCCCACTTTGGGTCCTGGCAGGGCACCACCAGCCCCCATCACCCCACACGATGGGGTCAGAGCCCACTTTGGGTCCTGGCAGGGCACCACCAGCCCCCATCACCCACATGATGGGGTCAGAGCCCACTTTGGGTCCTGGCAGGGCACCACCAGCCCCTGTCACCCCACATGATGGGGTCAGAGCCCACTTTGGGTCCTGGCAGGGCACCACCAGCCCCCATCACCCCACATGATGGGGTCAGAGCCCACTTTGGGTCCTGGCAGGGCACCACCAGCCCCCATCACCCCACATGATGGGGTCAGAGCCCACTTTGGGTCCTGGCAGGGCACCACCAGCCCCTGTCACCACCGTGTCCCCTCAGGCCCGGTGTGCGGCCAGAGATGTCCCCTCACAGGGTGGCCGCACGGTGACACTCGCGGTGACATTCGCGGTTGTTTACAAACACCTCCCTCCCCTCGCAGCCCACCCCCGGTACCGGCGGGAAGCGATGAGGGGAAAATGGGGCTCAAGGGGGTCCCGGTACCGGTGGGAAGCCCTGAGGGGAAAATGGGGCTCAAGGGGGTCCCGGTACCGGCGGGAAGCCCTGAGGGGAAAATGGGGCTCAAGGGGGTCACGGTACCGGCGGGAAGCTCCGGGAGGAGCTGAGGGGACCGGAGAAGGGGCTCGGGGGGTCTCCGGTACCTGCAGGAAGCGTTGAGGGGACCGGAGAAGGGGCTCGGGGTTCTCGGTAACTACGGGAAGCCCTGAGGGGAAATTGGGGCTCAAGGGGGTCCCGGTACCGGCGGGAAGCGCTGAGGGGACCGGAGAAGGGGCTCGGGGGTCTCTGGTACCTGCAGGAAGCGCTGAGGGGACCGGAGAAGGGGCTCGGGGGGTCCCGGTACCTGCGGGAAGCCCTGAGGGGAAAATGGGGCTCAAGGAGGTCCTGGTACCTGCGGGAAGCCCTGAGGGGACCGCAGAAATGGCTCGGGGGTCTCCGGTACCGGTGGGAAGCACTGAGGGGAAAATGGGGCTCAAGGGGGTCCCGGTACCTGCGGGAAGCCCTGAGGGGACCGCAGAAGGGGCTCGGGGGTTCTCGGTAACTACGGGAAGCCCTGAGGGGAAATTGGGGCTCAAGGGGGTCACGGTACCGGCGGGAAGCGCTGAGGGGGACAGTGAGGCTCGGGGAGCCTCGGTAGCTGTGGCGGCCCCGGGAAGCTCTGAGGGAGTGGGGGCAGACCGGGGGTCTCGGGGGTCCCGGTACTGGCGGGAAGCTCCGGGAGGAGCTGAGGGGACAGCGGGACTCGGTACCTGCGGGAAGATCTGAGGGGACGGGTGAGGATCGGGGGGGTCTCGGTACCTGCGGGAAGATCTGAGGGGACGGGTGAGGATCGGGGGGGTCTCGGTACCTGCGGGAAGATCTGAGGGGACGGGTGAGGATCGGGGGGGTCTCGGTACCTGCGGGCGCCTCCGGGAAGCGCTGAGGGAGCGGGAAGGGGGAGCTCGGGGGGCGGCCCCGGGAAGCGCCGGGCTCGAGTGGCGGTGAGCTCGGGGGGACGCTCGGGGGGTCCCGGTACCCCGGGAAGCGCCGGGCTCGAGTGGCGGTGAGCTCGGGGGGACGCTCGGGGGGTACCGGTACCCCCGGGAAGCGCCGGGCTCCAGTGGCGGTGAGCTCGGGGGGTCCCGGTACCCCCGGGAAGCGCTGAGGGGCTCGGGGCTCCCGGTAACTGCGGGAATCTCTGAGGGGTTCGGGGGTCACTCAGGGGTCTCAGCGGAACCTCCGGGAAGCTCTGAGGAGATCTGGGGGAGCTCTGAGGGGCCATTCGAGGGGTCCCGGCGGTTCCTCCGCCAAGCTCTGAGGGCTCAGGGGGTTCCGGTAACTGCGGGAAGCTCTGAGGGGCTCGGGGTGGTCACTCGGGGAAGCTCTGGGGGATTAGGGGTGGTCACTCGGGGAGCTCGGGGTGGTCACTCGGGGAATCTCTGAGGGGTTCGGGGTGGTCACTCCGAGAAGCTCTGAGGGGTTCGGGGTGGTCACTCGGGGGTCCCGGCGGTACCTCGGGGAAGCTCTGAGGGGTTAGGGGTGGTCACTCGGGGAGCTCAGGGCGGTCACTCGGGGAATCTCTGAGAGGCTCGGGGTGGTCACTCGGGGAAGCTCTGAGGGGCTCGGGGCGGTCACTCGGGGAGCTCGGGGTGGTCACTCGGGGAAGCTCTGAGGGTTCGGGGTGGTCACTCGGGGAAGCTCTGAGGGGTTCGGGGTGGTCACTCGGGGGGCTCGGGATGGTCACTCTGGGAATCTCTGAGGGGTTCGGGGTGGTCACTCTGGGAATCTCTGAGAGGCTCGGGGTGGTCACTCGGGGAATCTCTGAGGGGTTCGGGGTGGTCACTCTGAGGGTTCGGGGTGGTCACTCCGAGAAGCTCTGAGGGGCTCGGGGTGGTCACTCAGGGAGGCTCTGAGGGGCTCGGGGCGGTCACTCGGGGGTCCCGGCGGTACCTTGGGGAAGCTCTGAGGGGCTCGGGGCGGTCACTCGGGGAGCTCGGGGTGGTCACTCTGGGAATCTCTGAGGGGCTCGGGGCATCTCTGAGGGGCTCGGGGCGGTCACTCGGGGAATCTCTGAGAGGCTCGGGGTGGTCACTCGGAGTGGTCACTCGGGGAAGCTCTGAGGGCTCGGGGCGGTCACTCGGGGGTCCCGGCGGTACCTGCGGGCGCCTCCGGCGGTCCGGGCGCGGCGGGCGCGGGGGGCGGCGGCGGCGGCGGCGGGAGCGGGGCCGGGGCCGGCCCGGCGAAGATGTCGGGGGGCCCTCGGTGCCCGGCCAAGAGCGCGGCAGCAGCGGCGGCGGCGGCGGCGGCGGCGTCTTCCTCCTCCTCTTCCTCGTCGTCCTCCTCGTCGTCGTCCTCCTCGTCCCCCTCGGACACCGCCATCTCCTCCTCCTCCTCCTCGTCCTCCCTCAGCGGGGACGCCATGGCCGGGTGAGGGGCGGGGGGCCGGGGGGACCCTCGGCGTGCGCCGCTCCCACCGCCCCAAACCGCCCCCGCCGCCGAGGCCGGGGGGGGTTCGGTGTGAGGGGAAAGTGGGGAGGGGGCGGGACGGGGCGACCCCCCCCGGGCCGGGCCCGGCGGGGCCGCGCGGGGGGCGCGGGGGGGGCGGCGGCGATGGGTTGAAAAACGCCCGGATCGGTTAAAATCGCCTCAGGGCGCGGGAGGCGGCGGGCGGCGGGACGGCGCCGGCAGCGAAAATGGCCGCCCCGGGTGTAATTTTAAAATAAACCCCCCCCCTTTCAACACACACACACACACAAAACAAAAAAAAAAAAGAATAAGAGAAAAATATATAATAATAAAAAACACACCCCGGGAAAGGGGGGGGAAAAGGCGTAAAAAATATGGAGGAGGGAGGGGTTAAAAATGAGGGAAAATGGGGGGGGTGGTGCCCCCCCCCCTTCTTGAGGGGAAAAAAAAAGCGCAAAATGGCCGAATGAGGGTTTTTTTTTAAAGTTGCCCCACACGCACCTTAGGGGAGGAAAGAGGGGGAAAAAGAGGGGGGAAAAGCCTCAAAAACACACAAAAAAGCGATAAAACCCAACCCGCGAAAGGGGGAGGGGAATTAAGGAGGGAAAAAAATATTGAAATTAATATTTTAGGGGAAAAAAAAAAAAGGAAAGGGAAGCGTTCAGGGAAAAGAATGAAGGAAATAAAGGGGAGAATTGAAAAGGAGTTAAATTGGAGGGGAAAGGAGCGGTGAAATGAAAAAATGGGGTGGAAAAATGGAAGAGGGCAAGAAGGAGAGGCAAAAAGGGGTAAAAATCGACATTAAAATTTAAAATGGGGAAGGAATGGGAAGAAAAGGGACAATCAAGCTTAAAATTGATATGGCAAAGGAGGAGAGTCAAAAATAAACATTAATATTTAAAAAGGGAAGGGAATGGAAAAAAGGTTAAAAATAAACAAAAACCAGAAAGGGCTGAAAAGGGTAAAAATAAACATCAAAAAAAAAAAAGCGCCAAAAAACCTTAAAAATCAACCGCGCGAGGTAAAAAAAAAAAAATTAAAAAATTAAAAACAAAACCCACGAAAAATCCTTAAAAACACACCAAAAAAAAAAATTTCAAAAAGCACGAAACCCCTGAAAAATAATAAATCCCAAAGCTCCCCCCACCCCACCCCCCCCAGCCTTCGCCGCTACAGCCCGAGCAGGCGAATAATCCTCATCCTGCTCATTTTAGGGTATTTTTGGTCGCTTTTGGGGCCTCATTAATGATATTTTTTTGCTTTTCCCCCTCCCGAAGATCCCGGCTCGGCGAGGGACAAATATTTGTGTGGCCCCAGCCGGGGGGGGACCCGAAGCCGGAGATTTTTCTGCATAAAACAAAGATGGCTGCGGTAAATTATTTCTTTTTTTTTTCTGCTTTTTTTTTCCTTCTCTTTCCCCTTCTCCCCCCCCCCCCCCCCTCACTCCCATAAAAATATTTCGGGGGGGGATTAATCAGTACTCATGCTCAGTGTGACATCAGCATAAATTGTTAAAGGTTAACTAGTTCCATACTCGTCACGTTTCCCTTTTCATTTTTTAAAGCATTTTTACCCTTCCCCCAATTTTTTTTCGCCCATTCCTCCCCCCTCCCTCGGTGATTTTAAACACGCACTAAAAAAAAAAAAAAAATTAAAAAGCAAATTTTTTTTTTATTTTTTTTTGTTCTTTCTCCCTCCCTCCTCGACTTTGAAATACTTGGGAAGGGAGTGGTTTGGTGGGTTGGGTTTGGGGTTGTTGGGTTTTTTTTTTCTTTTGGGTGTTTTTTTTTCTTTTTTCTTTTTTTGGAGTTTCTTTAAGGCTGCAACGGAGGAAGAACAAAAAAAAAAAAAAAGGGGGGTTATAAGGATTTTAAAAAAAAAGGTTGAGGAAGGGGTTGGAAAGATGGAGGTGGGATTAAAAAAGGTTGGGAAAGGGGGGAAAGATTGAAAAGGAATAAAAAAGATTGAAAAGGGGGAAAATGGAAACGGAAAAAGATTAAAAAGGGGAAAAATTGAAACGGGGAAAAAGGATTGAAAAGGGGGAAAAGATTGGAAAAGGAAAAAAGCTTGGAAAAGGAAAAAAATGAAAGGAATAAAAAATATTGGGAAAGGGGAAAGGATTTTAAAAGATGTAAAAAGAAAAATGTTGAGAAAGGAACAAATGGTTAGAAAAGAGAAAAGGTTGAAAAAAAATTTTTTTTAAAACATTGCAAAAGGGAAGAAGGTTGGAAAAGGATGGGAAAGGGAAGAAATTATAAAAGGAAAAAGTTGAAAAAGGAAAAAATACTCAAAAAGGGTGGAAGCAGAAAAATATTTAAATGGATGAAAGTTTTAAAATGTTGAAATTGAGAAAAATGTTCAAAAAGGAACAAAAGTTACTAAAAATATTGAAAAATGGAGAAATATTGAAATGAAAAACATTTAAGAACAAAAAAGGATGGAAAGGGAAAAGCTATTTTAAAAGGAAAAAAGTTTGAAAAAGGGGAAGAATAAAAGAGAAAAAGGATGAAAAGACAGAGAAAATGAAAGAAAATTTAAAATGTAAAAAACTGAAAAAGATTTAAAATTTGAAAAAGGAAAAGAAGGATCCAAAAAGGGGAAAAATACTGAAAGAAAGGGAAAAGTATTAAAAGAGGAGATAAAATAGAAAAAAAGATTCAAAAGAGGAACAAATACTAAAAACTGGAAAATACTTTAGAAAGGGGAAAAAATATTTTAAAAGTGGGCAAAAATCAAAAAAGAAAAGATTTGGAAAGAGTTAAAGAGATGGGGAAAGATTCCAAAAAGAGAATAAAGTGTTAAAAAGGGGGGGGGAAGGGGGAAATTAGGAAAAGGGGAGGAAAAAAACAGTGGAAAGAGAAGAAAATTTGAAAAAAGGGGGAGAAATTGAAAAAGGAGATAGGAAATATTAAAAAGGGGAGAAAAAAAGGGTTTAAAGTTCCCCCAAATCCTCCCCCCAAAAAAACCCAGAGGTGAAGTGGATGAGTTTGTCCTCAGTGATGGTTTTTAGGGGGTGAAGTTGCCCAAAAAGCTCCAAAGTCACACCAAAATCTCCAGGCTGTGTCTGCCCCTGCCCCACCTCTGGAGTTTGCTGCCTTTTTTTCCTTCCCCTTCCTTTTCGGGGCCTTTTTACCCCAAAAATGATGGGAAATGGGGTAAAAAACACTCCAAGTTTGGGGGTTTTACCCTATTTGGGTTTTTTTTTACCCAAAAGCTGCTCCTGGTTGCTGTCAGCCAGCACAAGGAACACCCAAAATCCACCCAAAACCTCGTGTGACACCACAAGGACCCAAAAATCCTCACAAATCTCCCCAAATTCCACCCAAAACCTCGTGTGACATCCCCAGAACTCCCAAATCTCCCCAAATTCCACCCAAACCCTTGTGTGACCCCACAAGAACCCCAAATCCCCCCAAAAGAAACCCAAATTCTCACAAATTTCCCCCAAATTTTCCTCCAAAACCTTGTGTGACACCCCCAGAACCCCCAAATCCCCCCAAATTCTCCCCAAAACTTCATGTGACACCACAAGAATCCCAAATTCTCACTAATTTCCCCCAAATTCTCCACCCAAAACCTCATGTGACACCCCAAGAACCCCCAAACCCCCCCAAATTCCACCCAAACCCTCGTGTGACACCAGAAGAATTCCAAATTTTCACAAATTTTCCCCAAAACCTCGTGTGACACCACAAGAACCCCAAATTTTCACAAATTCTCCCCAAATTCTCCCCCAAAACCTCATGTGACACTACGAGAGCTCCAAATCCCCCCAAAACTTCATGTGACACCACAAGAATCCCAAATTCTCACAAATTTCCCCCAAATTCTCTCCCAAAACCTCATGTGATGCCCCCAGAACCCCCAAATCCCCCTAAAATCCCCCCAAAACTTCATGTGACACCCCAAGAACCCCAAATTCTCACAAATTCCCCCCAAATTCTCCCCAAACCCTCGTGTGACACCCCCAAATCCCAGAGGTGACGTCGTTTTTGGGGCGGTTGTGGCTTTTGTCACCCCGAGCCCTCCCCGGGGCCGTTTTTGGGCCGTTTTTGGGCCGTTTTTGGGCCGTTTTTGGGCCATTTTTGGGCCGTTTCGCCCCTTTTTGCCCCTTTTGCCTCTGCCCGGTGGCTCTGCTGCCCCTCGCAGCCCTGAGGTGTCACCGGTGTCACTGTCACACCCCCGGAGGGTGGCACCAGGTCAGGGGGTGACAGTGTCACACACTGCCACCGCGGCGGTGTCCCGGTGGGGACGGGGACAGCGGTGACAAAGGTGACAGCGGTGACAGTGGCACCGTGGGGACATTGGGGACACGTGGGGACATTGGGGACATGTGGGGACATGTGGGGACAGTGGGAGAGGGACAGGGATGGGGACAGGGACAGGGACAGGGATGGGGACAGGGACAGGGGACAGGTGACACAGGCAGACACACAGACAGGTGACACGGACACACGGACAGACAGACACATGGACAGGTGACATTGATAGACAGGGATAGGTGACACGGACAGGTGACATTGGCAGCTTGTCATGGACAGGTGACACAAACACATACAGGGACAGGTGACAGGGACAGGTGACATTGACAGACACAGGGACAGATAACATGGAAGAGGAGGACACACGGACAGATGGCATAGACAGGTGACACAGACAGGTGACAGGGACAGACACACGGACAGGTGACACGGACAGACAGACACATGGGCAGGTGACATTGATAGAGGGATAGGTGACATGGACAGGTGACATTGGCAGCTTGTCATGCACAGGTGACAGGGACAGGTGGACACACAAACAGGTGACTTGGACAGACACACGGACAGGTGATATGGACAGACAGACACACAGGTGACACGGACACACGGACAGGTGACACAGACAGACATACAGGTGACACGGACACACAGACAGGTGACACGGACACACAGGTGACACAGACAGACACACAGGTGACACAGACACATGGACAGGTGACACGGACACACAAATACACAGGTGACACAGACAGGTGACACGGACACACAGACAGGTGACACAGACACAGACAGGTGACACAGACAGACACACGGACAGGTGACACGGACACACAGACAGGTGGCACAGACACACAGGTGGCACGGACACACGGACAGGTGACACAGACATATGGACAGGTGACATGGACAGACAGGTGACACAGACACACAGACAGGTGACAGGGACAGCTGGTGCCCCCTCATTGTCCCCTCTCCCAAGCTCGGACAAAATCCGATTTATTTGGGGCTCCGAAAAGTCACAATTGTCCCCAAAATTGGGGGGGGGACCCACCCGGAAAAGGGGGGACCCCCAAACCGGGGGGGTCCTGGTGACCCCCGAGGGGGGGGAGAAGGGACCCCCAATGTGGGGGGGGACCCCCAAACCGGGGGGGGAAGGGACCCCCAAACCGGGGGGGTCCTGGTGACCCCCGGGGGGGTCCTGGTGACCCCCAGTGGGGGAGGGGGGGTCCCCCGACCCCTCTGGGGGTGACGTCATCACCCGCGGCCCGCAGGAGGGGCGGGGCTGCTCCTGGGTCAGGGGGGGTCACGGAGGGGTGACCCCCCCCCCCAAAAACGGGGACCCCCCGCCCCCCCCCCAGATCGCCCCCCAGGCCCCCCTGAGACCCCCCAGACCCCCCTGAACCCCTCTGAGCCCCCCCCCGCACCTCGGGGCCACTCGGGCCGGGCCCGGGGTCGCCACCGAGCCCGCGCCGCCCGTCGCCATGGCAACGCCGCCGGAAACCGCGGGGCGTGCTGGGAAACGTAGTCCTTGGGTTTTTTCCCGTTAACGCGCGGCGCATGCTGGGAAATGTAGTCCCCGGCTCGGCAGCCGCTACGGGCGGCGCGCGGTGCCCGCCGGGAGTTGTAGTCCGTGGCTCCGCCCCCTGGGCCGCGCCATCATGGCGGATCCGCCGGAGGAGGCGGGGGGCGGCTCGGCCGTGAGTGGGGGGATTTGGGGGGATTCGGGGGGAATTCGGGGGGATTTGGGGGGTCTGAGGGGCCAAAGGGGAGGCCCGGCCGTGAGTGGGGGGATTTGGGGGGAATTCAGGGGGATTTGGGGTGAATTTGGGGGCTCTGAGGGGCCGGGGGCGGGGGGCGGTGCGGGGTCCTGAGGGGAGATTCGGGGGCTCTGAGGGCTGAGGGTGCTGTGGGGGGGTCTCAGTCGGGTCCTGGGGGGGTGTGGGGTGATTTGGGGGGTTGTGAGGGGGTCTGGGGGTTTATGGGGGGATCTCAGAGGTTTGGGGGGGCCATAGGGACACGGGGGATGATTTGGGGGGCCGGGGGATGTTTTTGGGGGCTGTAGGTACCATGGGAAGGTTTTTGGGGCCGGGGGAGGTTTTTGGGGGTCCATAGGTACCCAGGGAAGGTTTTTTGGGGTCTATAGTTACCCAGGGAGGGTTTTTGGGGGGGTCCATAGGTACCCAGGGTGGGTTTTTGGGGCCGGGGGATGTTTTTGGGGTCCATAGGTACCAGGGAAGGTTTTTTAGGGCCGGGGGAGGTTTTTGGGGTCCATAGGTACCCAGGGGATGTTTTTGGGGTCCATAGGTACCCAGGGTGGGTTTTTGGGGGGGTCCATAGGTACCAGGGTGGGTTTTTGGGGCCGGGAGATATTTTTGGGGGTCCATAGGTACCCAGGGAAGGTTTTTGGGGGGGTCCATAGATACCCCGGAAGGTTTTTGAGGCCGGGGTCCCCGCAGCCCTTCCCAGCCCCCTCCCCGCCACTCGGGGGTCTCAGGCGCTGCCCCTCCCCCCCCAGCGGGCCGGGCCGGGGGTCGCGGGGCCCCCCCGGGGGCGGCAGCGGCTGGAGGCGCTGCTGAACCGGAGCCTCCGGATCCGCATGTCCGACGGGCGGACCCTGGTGGGAGCGTTCCTGTGCACCGACCGCCAGAGCAACGTCATCCTGGGCTCGGCGCAGGAGTTCCTCAAGGCCGCAGGTCTGGGGGGGTCCTGGGGGGGGCTACAGGTTTTTTTTTGGGGTGTTCTTGGGAGTTTTAGGGGTGTTCTGGGGGGTTCTGAGGGAGTTTGGGGGGTCTGAGGGGTTTGGGATCGTTCCCAAGCTCTGAGTATCGGGGCAACGTCATCCTGGGCTCGGCACAGGAGTTCCTCAAGGCCGCAGGTTTGGGGGGATTTTGGGGTGTTTTGGGGGTCCTAGGGGGGATTTGGGGGGTCCTGGGGGAGTTATGGGGCTCTGAGGGGGGTGGGAGCGTTCCTGTGCACCGACCGCCAGAGCAGCGTCATCCTGGGGTCAGCACAGGAGTTCCTCAAGGCCGCAGGTTTGGGGGGATTTGGGGGGATTTGGGGGGTTTTGGGGGGTCCTGGGGTGTTCTGGGGGGGTTATGGGGCTCTGAGGGGGGTGGGATCGTTCCCAAGCTCTGAGTGCCAGAGCAACGTCATCCTGGGCTCGGCGCAGGAGTTCCTCAAGGCCGCAGGTCTGGGGGGGTTTGGGGGGGGTTTGGGGGGTCCTGGGGGGGATTTGGGGGGTCCTGAGGGGAATTATGGGGGTCTGAGGGGGGTGGGAGCGTTCCCAAAGCTCTGAGTGTCGGAGCGGCGTCATCCTGGGCTCGGCGCAGGAGTTCCTCAAGGCCGCAGGTCTGGGGGATTTTGGGGGGATTTTGGGGTGTTCTGGGGGGTCCTGGGGGGGTTTTGGGGGAGTCTGGGGGTCTGAGGGGGGTGGGAGCGTTCCTGTGCACCGACTGCCAGAGCAACGTCATCCTGGGGTCAGCGCAGGAGTTCCTCAAGGCCGCAGGTCTGGGGGGGATTTGGGGTTTTTTTGGGGGGTCCTGGGGGGTTTGGGGGGTTCTGGGGGGTCTGACAGGGCAGGGAGTGTTCCTGTGCACCGACCGCCAGAGCAACGTCATCCTGGGCTTGGCACAGGAGTTCCTCAAGGCCGCAGGTCTGGGGGGATTTTGGGGGGCATTTGGGGGATTTGGGGGGGATTTTGGGGTGTTCTGGGGGATTCTGGGGGGGTTCTGGGGGAGTTTGGGGGTTCTGAGGGGATTGGGATCGTTCCCAAGCTCTGAGTGCCAGAGCAGCGTCATCCTGGGGTCAGCACAGGAGTTCCTCAAGGCCGCAGGTTTGGGGGATTTGGGGTTTTTTGAGGATTTTGGGGTTTTTTGGGTTTTTTTGGGTTTTTTGGGTGACTGGAAGGGTCTGGGGGAGGTGGGATTGGGATTTTGCTCTGCTCCCACCCCCCGAGCGGGACCCTGGGCTTGGCACGGGAACTGCTGGGGGGTCCTTGGGGGTTCTAGGAGGGTCCTTGGGGTTTTTGTGGGTTTTTTTGTGGGAATCTTTGGAGTTTTTTTGGGTTTTTTTAGGAGGTTTTGGTGTTTTTGTGGAGGGGGGTTTGGGGTTTTTTTTGTGGGAGTCTTTGGGGTTTTTTGGTTATTTTTTAGGAGAAGAGTTTGGGTTTTTGTGGAGTTTTTTAGGGTTTTTTTTTGTGGGAGTCTTTGGGGTTTTTTTAGGAGGTTTTGGGGTTTTTGCGTGGAGTTTTTTAGGGGTTTTTTGTGGGGTTTTTTTGGGCAGATCTTTGGGGTTTTTGGTTATTTTTTAAGAGGATTGATTCTTATTTTGTGGGATTTTTGGGGGTTTTTTTGTGGGAGTCTTCAGGGTTTTTTGGGCGGATCTTTGGAGTTTTTTGGGTTTTTTTTAAATGAGATTCTGGAGTTTTTTTGTGGGAGTCTTTGGGGTTTTTTTGGAGCTTTTTTAGGAGAAGGGTTTGGGTTTTTTGTGGGATTTTTTAGGGTTTTTTGGGCGGATCTTTGGGATTTTTTTTTGTTATTTTTTTAGAAGGGTTTGGGTTTTTTGTGGAGTTTTTTAGGGTTTTTTGTGGGAGTCTTTGGGTGTTTTTGGTTATTTTTTAGGAGAAGGGTTTGGATTTTTTGGTGGGGTTTTTAGGTTGTTTTTGGGGGGTTTTAGGTTGTTTTTGTGGGGTTTTTAGGTTGTTTTTGGGGGTTCTGAGCCCCTTGTCCCCCCCTGCAGACGCGTTCCCGGGCAGTGAACCCCGAGTTCTGGGGCTGGCCATGGTCCCCGGGCACCACATCGTGTCCATCGAGGTGGAGCCCCCCTACCCCTGAGTGACCCCAAAACCACCTGATGGACCCCAAAAACACCTGATGGACCCCAAAAACATCTGAGACCCCCAAAACCACCTGATGGACCCCAAAACCACCTCGAGGGACCCCAAAAACACCTCGAGAGACCCCCTGGATGGACCCCAAAACCACCTGATGGACCCCAAAAACACCTGATGGAGCCCAAAAACACCTCATGGACCCCAAAAACAACGGAGAGACCCCAAAAACACCTCGAGGGACCCCAAAAACACCTGATGGACCCCAAAACCACCTGAGAGACCCCCTGGATGGACCCCAAGACCGTGATGGACCTCAAAACACCTCGAGGGACCCCGAAACCACCTGATGGACCCCAAAAACATCTGAGAGACCTCCTGGATGGACCCCTAAACCACCTGATGGACTCCAAAACCACCTGAGGGACCCCCCCACACCTAATGGACCCCCATTGCTGGGACAGACCCCCCCCAAATCCACGTGGGGACCCCCCAATACCTGAACGCTCCCCCCCCACCCCCCAAAAAATGTCCCTGGGGGTTTGGGGGTCCCCATTAAAGCCCCCCCGGAGCCGTCGGGCTTTGCCATTAATTTAATCTCAGGTACAAAATAGCTTCTGGGGGGGGGAGGGGCGGGGAGGGGAGGGGGCGCACCCGCCCCTCCCCCACCCCCACACGCACCGGGGGCCCGGCGGGGGGAGGGGCGGGGGGGACACGGGGTGGGGGGGGGGAGGGGCGGCCACAGGGCCCAGCACCATGATGGGGGTGGGGGCGGGGCGGGGGGGAGGGGTCAGACCCTCCCCTCCCCCCACAAAGGTCAGGGGTCAGCGGGTGACGGGGACAAGGGGGGGGAGGGGTCACCGGGGTCACGGTGACCAAAAACCCCCCCTCAGACCCCTCCCCCACCCCCGGGAGTCGGGGACCCCCGGCCCGACCCCCCCAATAAATAACGCGACCCCTCCCCCCCCCTCCCCGCGTATAAATTAAAAAAGAGGAAAAAAAAAGAAAAAACAACCCAAAAAAATCATTTACAAAAAAAAACCAGAAAAGAAAAAGCAAAAAAACCCAAAAACGAGGCTCGGGGAAGGGGGGGAGGGGCGCCCCACGGCCCCTCCCCCCGTTTTGGGGGGGAGGGGGTAGCACCGGCCCCTCCCCCCTTTGCACCATGGGTTGGGGGGGAGCCCCTCCCCCCCCCGAGACCTGAGCCCCACCCCGCGCGGGGGGAGGGGCGGGGGGGGCACCCCCCAAAAACATCCCGCCCCTCCCCCACCCCCCCGTGCCCCTCCCCCCCGGCCCGGACCCGTATGGGGGGGGAGGGGCGGCCGCTGTTGGGGGCGGGGCGAGTTTTTGGTAGAATCTTGGCGGGGGGTGCGACCCCCCCCCCAAAAAAAGTGCCCCTCCCCCCCCCAGCCCCTCCCCACCCTTAATGCTGAGGGGAGGGCGGGGACCCCCCCCTTGTGTTGGGGGAGGGGCACGAGCGCCCCCAAAATGAGGGGGGAGGGGCGGGAGCGGCGCCTCCCCTCCCCCCACCCCCCTCCGAGTTCACAGCCCCCCAAAATGTGGGGGTGGGGGAGGGGCAGCGGGAAGCCCCTCCCCCATCGCGGGCCGGGCAGGTGGGGGAGGGGCTTTGGGAATTCCTAAAAATCGGGATTTTGTATAAAATCGGAGTTTTCCCCCCCAAACCCCCTCCCCCCGCGGTGGGGGAGGGGCGTCCTGCCCGTCCGGACGAGTTTTGGGGCGATTTCTCCGCCAATAAATAAAAAGTGTTCGTGGGGGGAGGGGCGGGGGCCCCTCCCGGCCCCTCCCCCGCCGAGGGGTCCCCTGGGGGGGGCCGGACTCATCTGGGGGTCGGCGGCGTCACCTGGGGGGGGGGAGGGGTCACCTGAGCACCCCCCGGGGACACCTGAGGGGACAGAGGGGACAGCCCCGCACAGGTGTCCCCACCCCTCCCCCCGTGTGTCCAGGTGTGACAAGAGTATCCCCAGGTGTGCCCAGGTGTGTCCCCAGTGTATTCCAGGTGTGCCCAGGTGTGTCCCCAGGTGTCCCCAGATGTCCCCAGGTGTCCCCAGGTGTGTCCCCAAGTGTCCCCAGGTGTGCCCAGGTGCCACCAGTGTATCCCCAGGTGCCCCTAGGTGTGCCCAGGTATGCCCAGGTGTCCCCAGCTGTATTCCCAGGTGTGCCCAGGTGTGTCCCCAGGTGTGCCAAGATGTCCCCAGGTGTGCCCAGGTGCCCCCAGATGTCCCCACTGTATCCCCAGCTGTGACCAGGTGTGCCCAGGTGTCCCCAGGTGTGTCCAGATGTCCCCACTGTATCCCCAGGTATGCCCAGGTGTGTCCCCAGGTGTGCCAAGATGTCCCCAGTGTATACCCAGGTGTGCCCAGGTGTGTCCCCAGCTGCCCCCAGGTGTGCCCAGGTGTATCCCGAGGTGTGCCAAGATGTCCCCAGGTGTGCTCAGGTGCCCCCAGATGTCTCCAGCTGTGCCCAGGTGTGCCAGGTGTATCCCCAGGTGTATCCCCAGGTGTGCCCACGTGTGCCACGTGTGCCCAGGTGTATCCCCAGCTGCCCCCAGGTGTATCCCCAGGTGTCCCCAGGTGTCCCCAGTATGTCCCCAGTGTATCCCCAGGTATCTCCAAGTGTCCCCAGGTGTGCCCAGGTGTCCCCAGAGTATCCCCAGGTGTGCCCCCAGGTGTGCCAGGTGTGTCTCCAGGTGCTCCCAGGTGCTCCCAGGTGTGCCCCCAGCTGTCCCCAGGTGTGTCCCCAGGTGTGCCCAGGTGCCCCCAGGTGTGCCCAGGTATGCCCAGGTGTGCCCCCAGGTGTGCCAGGTGTGCCAGATGTATCCCCAGGTGTATCCCCAGCTGTCCCCAGGTGCCCCCAGGTGTGCCCCCAGGTGTGCCAGGTGCCCACAGGTGTATCCCCAGGTGCCCCCAGGTATATCCCCAGCTGTGCCAGCTGCCCCCAGGTGCCCCCAGGTGTATTCCCAGGTGTGCCCAGGTGTGCCCCCAGGTGTGCCCAGGTGCCCCCAGCTGTCCCCAGGTGTTTCCCCAGGTGCCCCCAGGTGTGCCAGGTGTGTGCCAAGTGTGCCAGGTGTATCCCCAGGTGTATCCCCAGCTGCCCCCAGATATCCCAAAATGTGTCCCCAGGTGCCCCCAGGTGTATCCCCAGGTGTGCCAGGTGTGCCAGATGTATCCCCAGCTGCCCCCAGCTGCCCCAGGTGTATCCCCAGGTGCCCCCAGGTGTCCCCAGCTGTCCCCAGGTGCCCCCAGCTGCCCCAGGTGTATCCCCAGCTGTGCCCCCAGCTGTATCCCCAGGTGCCCCCAGATGTGCCAGGTGCCCCCAGGTGTATCCCCAGGTGTGCCCAGCTGCCCCCAGGTGTGCCAAGTGTATCCCCAGCTGTGCCTTGGTGTCCCCAGCTGTGCCCAGGTGTCCCCAGGTGTGCCAGGTGTATCCCCAGGTGCCCCCAGATGTCCTGAGGTGTATGCCCAGCAGCCCCCAGGTGTGCCAGGTGTGTGCGAGGTGTGCCAGGTGTGCCCATCTGTCCCCAGATATCTCCCCAGGTGTGCCCCCAGGTACCCAGGTGCCCCAGGTGCTCACCAGGGTGAAGCCGTCGTAGATGTGCATCAGCTCCTCGGTCTTGTACTGCTCGAGCACCACGACCCCGGCCAGGCCGCCGGCGCGGCGCCGCGCGCAGCCCTCGCAGTGCACCAGGTACGTGTTGCGCCCGCCCGTCTCGCTCGTCACAAACAGGATGTTGAACACCTCCACCTGCGCCGGGCACCACGGGGACACCCCGGGGTGAGGGTGGGGGTCACCAGGGGCACCCCGGGGTCATCAGGGGGTCACCAGGGGCACCCCGGGGGCAGGGCGGGGGTCAGGGGGTCACCCCAGGGTCAGGGCAGCGGTCAGGGGGTGACCAGGGACACCCCGAGGGCAGGGCAGCGGTCAGTGGGTCACCATGGGCACCCTGGGGTCAGGGCGGGGTCACAGGGTCATCAGGGGGTCACCACGGGCACCCCGGGGGCAGGGCGGGGGTCAGTGGGTGACCAGGGACATCAGGGGGTCACCAGGGACACCCCGGGGGCAGGGCAGTGGTCACCCCAAGGCCAATGTCACCCCAATGTCACCCTGAGGCCCCCCACTGTCCCCGCAGTCCCTGATGTCACCCCGCTGTCCCCACTGTCCCCGATGTCCCTCTGTCCCCGATGTCCCCTCTGTCCCTGCAGTCCCTCTCTGTCCCCTCTGTCCCCACTGTCCCCGCAGTCCCTCAGTGTCCCCTCTGTCCCCACTGTCCCCGCTGTCCCCTCTCTGTCCCTGCTGTCCCCTCTCTGTCCCTCTGTCCCCGCAGTCCCTGCTGTCCCCGATGTCTCCTCTCTGTCCCTGCTGTCCCCTCTCTGTCCCTCTGTCCCCGCAGTCCCTGCTGTCCCCGATGTCTCCTCTCTGTCCCCTCTCTGTCCCCTCTGTCCCCTCTGTCCCCTCACTGTCCCCGGGGTGTCACTCACGTCGCACTCGTTGCAGTAATACGCCGGCTCGTCCTTCACCCGGCCCTGGTACGCGATTTTCTTCCCGGCGCGCAGCAAATTCTCCCGCTGCACCTGGCAGTGCTTGATGGACTGCAGCAGGCAGTACCTGCGGGCACCGTGTCACCGTGTCACCTGGGACACCTGTGCCACCACCCATGGGGACACCGGGGTCACCCGTGCCACCTGTGCCACCTGGGACACCTGTGCCACCACCCACCGGGTCACCTGGCAGTGCTTGATGGACTGCAGCAGGCAGTACCTGCGGGCACGGGGGGTCACCTGTGCCACCTGTGCCACCTGGGGCACCTGTGTCACCTGTGCCACCTGTGCCACCACCCACCGGGGTCACCTGTGCTACCTGTGCCACCTGTGCTACTGCCCATGGGACACCTGGCAGTGCTTGATGGACTGCAGCAGGTAGTACCTGCGGGCACCACGGGCACCATGTCACCTGTGCCACCTGTGCCACCTGTGCCACCTGGGACACCTGTGCCACCTGTGCCACCTCTGCCACCACCCACCAGGGTCACCTGTGCCACCTGGGACACCTGGCAGTGCTTGATGGACTGCAGCAGGTAGTACCTGCGGGCACCGTGTCACCGTGTCACCTGTGCCACCTGGGCCACCTCTGCCACCACCCACCGGGGTCACCTGTGCCACCTGGGACACCTGGCAGTGCTTGATGGACTGCAGCAGGCAGTACCTGCGGGCACGGGGGCACCGTGGGGTCACCTGTGCCACCTGTGCCACCTGTGCCACCTCTGCCACCACCCACCGGGGTCACCTGTGCCACCTGTGCCACCTGTGCTACTGCCCATGGGACACCTGGCAGTGCTTGATGGACTGCAGCAGGCAGTACCTGCGGGCACCGTGGGGTCAGGGGGGCACCTGTGCCACCTGTGCCACCTGGGACACCACCCACAGGGACACCTGGCAGTGCTTGATGGACTGCAGCAGGCAGTACCTGCGGGCACCGTGTCACCGTGTCACCGGGGTCACCTGTGCCACCTGGGCCACCACCCACCGGGGGCACCTGTGCCACCACCCACGGGGACACCTGGCAGTGCTTGATGGACTGCAGCAGGCAGTACCTGCGGGTACGGGGGCACCGTGTCACCTGTGCCACCACCCACCGGGGCACCTGTGCCAGCTGGGACACCTGTGCCACCTGGCAGTGCTTGATGGACTGCAGCAGGCAGTACCTGCGGGCACGGGGGCACCTGTGCCATCTGGGACACCTGGGGCACCTGTGCCACCTGTGCCACCACCCACCGGGGTCACCTGTGCCACCTGGGACACCTGTGCCACCACCCACGGGGACACCTGGCAGTGCTTGATGGACTGCAGCAGGCAGTACCTGCGGGCACGGGGGCACCATGGGGTCACCTGTGCCACCTGTGCCACCTGTGCCACCTGTGCCACCACCCACCGGGTCACCTGTGCCACCTGTGCCACCTGTGCTACTGCCCATGGGACACCTGGGCCACGCCACGGGGACACCTGGGGCACCTGTGCCACCGCACATGGGACACCAGGGTCATCTGTGCCACCTGTGCCACCACCCACGGGGACACCTGGGGCACCTGTTCCACCTGTGCCACCACCCATGGGGACACCTCTGTGCCACCTGTGCCACCAACCACAGGGACACCTTCACCAGAACACTGTCCCCCACTGTGGGGACACTGTCACAGGGACACTGTCACCCAGTGTCACCCACCGTGGGCTACCAAAGCCACCAAGTCCCCCTGTCCCGCTGTGTCCTGCGTGTCCCCATGCCATGTCCCTGTGTCCCCAGGTGTCCCCAGGTGTCCCCGTGTGTCCCCAGGTGTGTCCCAGGTGTCCCCAGGTGTGTCCCCAGGTGTCCCAAGGTGTCCCAGGTGTCCCCAGGTGTCCCCAGTGTCCCCGTGTGCCCCATGTGTCCCCGTGTGTCCCCAGGTGTCCCCGTGTGTCCCCAGGTGCCTCCATGTGTCCCAGGTGTCCCCAGATGTCCCCATGTGTCCCCATGTGTCCCCATGTGTCCCCAGGTGTGTCCCCATGTGTCCCCATGTGTCCCCATGTGTCCCCAGGTGTCCCCTCTCACTTGATCATCTTGTAGAGGTCGGGGTCGCTGATCTTGACGGTCCGTGCCACGTTCCAGGAGACGTGGATCATGGGCACGATGGACTTGACGTTCTTCACCTCGTTCCACTCGTAGCGCTCCAGGGCCAGCTGGTACTGGTACGCTGGGGACAGGGACAGCGGCCACGTGGCGGCCACTGCGGCCACTGAGGACACCACGGCCACCGCCGCCACTGCGGACACTGTGGCCACCGGGGCCACTGCGGCCACCGGCAGAACGCTCTGTGGCCACTATGTGGCAGCGCCCACAGTGTGTCCCCAATGTCCCCAGTGTCCCCATGATGTCCCCAGTGTCCCCCCAGTGTCCCCATGATGTCCCCAATGTCCCCAGTGTCCCCCCAGTGTCCCCACGATGTCCCCAGTGTCCCCATGATGTCCCCAGTGTGTCCCCAATGTCCCCAATGTTCCCAATGTCCCCAGTGTCCCCCATGGCCCCAGTGTCCCCAGTGTGTCCCCAATGTTCCAAATGTCCCCCCAGTGTCCCAATGATGTCCCCAGTGTGTCCTCAGTGTCCCCAGTGTCCCCCCAGTGTCCCCCCAGTGTCCCCAATGTCCCCAGTGTGTCCCCAGTGTCCCCCCAGTGTCCCCATGATGTCCCCAATGCCCCCATGTCCCCAGTGTCCCCAGTGTCCCCAATGTCCCCAGTGTCCCCAGTGTCCCCAATGTCCCCAGTGTCCCCAGTGTCCCTCACCGGTCAGCGGCCCCACGTTCCAGGCGATGTTGTTGCACCAGCCCAATGTCCCCAATGTCCCCAGTGTCCCCAATGTCCCCAATGTCCCCGTGTCCCCAATGTCCCCAGTGTCCCCAATGTCCCCAGTGTCCCCAATATCCCCAGTGTCCCCGATGTCCCCCATGTCCCCACTGTCCCCAATGTCCCTCACCGGTCAGCGGCCCCACGTTCCAGGCGATGTTGTTGCACCAGCCCGTGGCCTGCACCCAGTGCACGGTGCCGGCGTTGATCCACACCAGGTCGCCGGGGCGCTGCACGAAGCGGTACACCGGGATGTTGGAGCGGTACAGGTCCTCCAGGATGGGCCACCACGAGCCCGTCAGGTAGTCCACGCCGTGCCTGCATTTATGCATACCTAATTTATGCATACCATGCCCTAATTTATGCAAACTGACCCTAATTTATGCAGCTCACAGCTCCTTTTACAGACCCCACCCACCCGTCACAGAAGGCATCAATGGTACTGCGACCCAGTAACCCCGCCCCCTCAGTGGCCACACCCCTTATGCAAACCACACCGTAATTTATGCAGAACACGCCCTAATTTATGCAGACATAACCTAATTTATGCACACCACACCTTCTTTCACACAGACCCCACCCATTGGTCTCCCAGTGGTGCTGCCCAAGTAACCCCACCCCTTTGGCCACACCCTTTATGCAAACCACACCCACTTTTATGCAGATCATGCCCTAATTTATGCAAAACACACCCTAATTTATGCAAACACAACCTAATTTATGCACACCACACCTCCTTTCACACAGACCCCATGATGGTCTCCCAGTGGTGCTGCCCAAGTCACCCCACACCTTTGGCCACACCCTTTATGCAAACCACACCCACTTTTATGCAAAAACGCCCTAATTTATGCAGGCCACGCCCCGTTTTATGCATGCCCCGCCCACCTGTCGCAGAAGGCGGAGATGGTCTCCCAGTAGTGCTCGTGCACCGCGAACCACTCGCAGTCGCCGGGGCCGATGTTGATGTTCACCGAGCAGAAGTTGTTGTTCTCCTGGTGGCCTGCGGGGGACGCTGCCACTGTCACTGTCACTGTCACCGTCACCGTCACCACTGTCACCATCACCTTGTGCCACCCCCCAGGACACCGAGATCGGGGGGCTCTGCCCGCTGTCCCCCCCCACCACTGTTGGTTTTTTGTTGCCTCTCACGAAAAAATAAATCCCATGAAAAGCCCCAAAATGTTAAAAAAAAAAAAAAATTTCCCAGGAAAATTCCTCAGAAAAATCCTCCCTGAAAAAATCTCAAAAGAAACGGCAAAAATTCTGGAAAAACTCCTAAAAAAAGACAAAAATATCTCCCAGGTGTGCCCAGGTGTTCCCCAGGTGTGTTCAGGCATCCCCCTGGTGAGCCCAGATGTCCCAAGGTGTGCCCAGGTATCTCCAGGTGTGTCCTCACATGCCCCCAGGTGTGCCCAGGTGTGTCCCACATGTCCCCAGGTATCCCCAGGTGCCTCCAGGTATCCCCAGGTGTATCTCCACATGTCCCCAGGTGCCCCTAGGTATCCCCAGGTACCCCCTGGTGTGCCCAGGTGCCCCCAGGTGTGTCCCCCATGCCCCCAGGTGTATCCCAGGTGTGCCCCAGGTATCCCCAGGTGCCCCCAGGTGTGTCCCCCATGTCCCCAGGTCTGCCCAGGTGCCCCCAGGTGTATCCCAGGTGTTCCCCAGGTATCCCCAGGTGTGTCCCCACATGCCCCCAGGTATCCCTAGATGCCCTCAGGTGCCCGCAGGTGTCCCCCATGCCCCCAGGTGTGTCCCCAAGTGCCCCCAGGTATTCCCAGGTGCCCCCAGGTGTGTCCCCCATGCCCCCACATGTCCCCAGGTGTCCCCAGGTGCCCCCAGGTGTATCCCCGGGTATCCCCAGGTATTCCCAGGTGCCCCCAGGTGTGCCCCCACATGTCCCCAGGTGTATCCCAGGTGCCCCCAGGTGTATCCCAGTTGTTTCCCAGGTATCCCCAGGTGCCCCCAGGTGCCCCCCCATGCCCCCAGGTATCCCCAGGTGCCCCAGGTGCGGGCGCTGACCGGGCGTGCGGCTGCCGGGCACTTTCATGTAGAGCTGCACGGTGTTCATGCCCAGGATGGTGTGGCCCACGTGGCTCAGCATGTTCCCCGTGGAGGAGACGCGCATGAAGGCGGGCAGCTTCAGCAGCTCCTGCAGCTGCGGCTTCCACCTGCGGGCAGGGGAGGGGCACGGGCTGGCACACCTGGGCTGGCACCTGGGCTGGCACCTGGGCTGGCACACCTGGGCTGGCACACCTGGGCACCACCCCGGCACCCCTGAGCCCAGCCCTGGCACCTGGGCTGGCACACCTGGGCACCGCCCTGGCACCCACCGGTGTGCCTGAGCACCCACAGGTGTGCCTGACCCCCCAAATTCACCCCACAGGTGTCCCTGAGCACCCACAGGTGTCCCTGACCCCCCCCATTGTCACCTGAGAGTGTCCCTGACCCCCAAATTCACCCCCCAGGTGTCCCTGAGCACCCACAGGTGTCCCTGACCCCCCAAACTCACCCCACAGGTGACCCTGAGCCCCAAATTCACCCACAGGTGACCCTGCAGTCACCCCAGTGCCACCCCAGTGTCCCCCCACTGTCCCCAGTGTCACCCTGGTGCCACCCCAGTGTCCCAGCTGTCCCCAGTGTCCCCCCGCTGTCCCCGCTGTCCCCAGCTGTCCCCATTGTCCCCCCGCTGTCCCCGCTGTCCCCCTGCTGTCCCCACTGTCCCCCCGCTGTCCCCAGTGCCACCCCACTGTCCCCCCCACTCCGGTGTCACCCTGGTGTCACTCCACTGTCCCCGGTGTCACCCTGGTGCCACCCTGCTGTCCCCGGTGTCCCCCACCCCAGTGCCACCCCAGTGTCCCCCCGCTGTCCCTGGTGTCACCCTGGTGCCACCCCGCTGTCCCCACTGTCCTCCCACTGTCCCCAGTGCCACCCCAGTGTCCCTGCTGTCCCCCACCCTAGTGCCACCCCGGTGTCCCCGCTGTCCCCCACCCCAGTGCCACCCCAGTGACACCCTGCTGTCCCTGCTGTCCCCCACCCCACCCCAGTGTCCCCCCGCTGTCCCCAGTGCCACCCCGCTGTCCCCGCTGTCCCCGCTGTCCCTGGTGTCCCCACTGTCCCCCCGCTGTCCCCGGTGTCCCCGGTGTCCCCGCTGTCCCCGGTGTCACCTCTTGGCGTCCGAGAGGTCGATGTTGGTCCCGAACTTGATGATCTGGTGGGATTTCTGGTCGGGGGGGCTGGGGGGGACACGGGGTCACGGGGGGCGGGGACGGGGTCCCCGAGGGGGACGTGTCACCCCCCCTTGGGCTTGGGGACACCCTGGGGACACAGGGACACCCTGGGGACATTGGGACCCCCCCAAAGGACACCCGGACGCCTTAGGGACATTGGGACCCCCCCCCCACAGTGACACAGGGACACCCTGGGGACCCTTGGGGACATTAGGACCCCCCTGGGGACATTGGGACCCCCACAATGACACCCTGGGGACACCCCGGGGACCCTTTGGGGACACCAGGACACCCCCCCGGGGACACGGGGACACCCTGGGGACACCCTGGGGACCCTTGGGGACATTGGGACCCCCCTGGGGACACCCTGGGGACATTGGGACCCCCCTGGGGACACCGGGACCCCTTTGGGGACATTATGACCCCCCCCCCACAGTGACACAGTGACACCCTGGGGAACCTTGGGGACATTGGGACCCCCCTGGGGACATTGGGACCCCCACAGTGACACCCTGGGGACACCCTGGGGACACCCTGGGGACCCCCACAGGGACACAGGGACACCCCGAGGACACCCTGGGGACACCCTGGGGACACCAGGACACCCCCCCAGGGACACAGGGACACCCCGAGGACACCCTGGGGACACCCTGGGGACACCCTGGGGACCCCCACAGGGACACCCTGGGGACATCAGGACACCCCCCCAGTAACACAGTGACACCCTGGGGACACCCCGAGGACATTGGGACCCCCCAAAGGACACCAGGACCCCTTTGGGGACATTAGGACCCCCCCCCAGTGACACAGTGACACCGTGGGGACCCTTGGGGACATTGGGACCCCCCTGGGGACATTGGGACCCCCCCAACAGGGACACAGTAACACCCTGGGGACACCCTGGGGACCCTTGGGGACACCCTGGGGACCCTGGGGACAGCGGGACCCTCCCGCCGGGCGGGGAGGGGGTGACACGTTGTCCCCAAGAGGGGACAGGGGGTGGCCTCACCTGGGCGGGGTCTCGGTGGTGCTGTCGGGTTCCTCGGCCTCCTCATCCTCACTGTCCTTGTCCTCCTGCGGGGACAGTGCCACCCAGTGCCACCCAGTGCCACCCAGTGCCACCTCAGTGCCACCTCGGTGTCACCTCAGCCCCCAGTGCCACCCAGTGCCACCCAGTGCCACCTCAGCCCCCAGTGCCACCCAGTGCCACCTCAGTGCCACCCCAGCCCCCAGTGTCACCTCAGTGTCACCCCAGTGCCACCTCACTGCCACCCCAGTGCCACCTCAGCCTCCAGTGCCACCCCAGTGCCACCCAATGCCACCTCAGTGTCACCTCGGTGCCACTTCAGCCCCCAGTGCCACCCAGTGCCACCCCAGTGCCACCCCAGTGCCACCCCAGTGTCACCCAGTGCCACCCAGTGCCACCCAGTGCCACCTCAGCCCCCAATGCCACCCCAGTGCCACCCCGGTGTCGCCTCAGTGCCACCCCAGTGCCACCCAGTGCCACCCCAACCCCCAGTGCCACCCCAGTGTCACCCAGTGCCACCTCAGTGTCACCCCAGTGTCACCTCAGTGCCACCTCAGTGTCACCTCAGTGTCACCTCAGTGCCACCTCGGTGTCACCTCAGTGTCACCCAGTGCCACCCCAACCCCCAGTGCCACCCAGTGCCACCCCAGTGCCACCCAGTGTCACCTCAGTGCCACCCCAGTGCCACCCAGTGTCACCTCAGTGTCACCCCAGTGTCACCTCAGTGCCACCCCAGTGCCACCCAGTGCCACCCCAGTGCCACCTCAGTGCCACCCAGTGCCACCCAGTGCCACCCCAGTGTCACCTCAGTGTCACCTCAGTGCCACCTCGGTGTCACCTCAGCCCCCAGTGCCACCCAGTGCCACCCCAGTGCCACCCCAGTGCCACCCCAGTGTCACTTCAGCCCCCAGTGTCACCTCAGTGCCACCCAGTGTCACCCCAGTGCCACCCCAGTGCCACCTCAGCCCCCAGTGCCACCCCAGTGCCACCCAGTGCCACCCCAATGTCACCACAGCCCCCAGTGTCACCTCAGTGCCACCCAGTGTCACCCCAGTGCCACCCAGTGCCACCCCAGTGCCACCCCACTGCCACCCCACTGCCACCTCAGGTGCCACCTAAGGATGCTGGGGGACACTTGGGGACACTCAAGACATTCCAGGGGACACTTGGGGACATCCTGGGGGCTCCAGGACACACCCCCAGCACAGCAAGGGACACTCAGGGACACCAGGGGACACTTGGGGCTCCTTGGGGACACCAGGGGACACTTGGGGCTCCTTGGGGACACCCTGGGGACACCTCAGAGCCACCAGGGGACACCCTGAGGACTCCTGGGGCTCCTTGGGGACACCCTAGGGACACTCGGGGACACTTGGGGCTCCTTGGGGACACCGGGGGACACCTCAGAGCCACCAGGGGACACTTGGGGACACTCTGAGGACTCCTGAGACTCCCTGGGGACACCGTGGGACACCTGGGGGCACCCTGGGGACACCTGGGGACACCTTGGGGACACTGTGGGACACCTGGGGACACGAGTCCCCTGCATCCCCCGTGTCCCCCTGAGCCCTCTGTCCCCTGTGCTGTCCCCACGTGTCACCTGTCCCCTTCCCTGTCACCTGCAGGGACTCGTGGCAGGAGCTCACCTGTACTGGGGGTACTGGGAGACGCTGGTGTGGGGTCTGTGCTGTGTCCCCACGTGTCCCCACGTGTCCCCACGTGTCCCCACGTGTCCCCATGTGTCCCCTGTCCCTGTCCCTCACCTGCAGGGACTCCTGGAAGGAGCTGGCCTGGTACTGGGCGTACTTGGCGATGGTGGTGTGGGGTCTGTGCTGTGACCCCAGGGTGTGTCCCCATGTCCTGTCAGTGTCCCCTCTGTGTCCCCTGTCCCCTGGGTGTGTCCCCAGGTGTCCCCAGGTGTCCCAGTCCCTGTCCCTCACCTGCAGGGACTCCTGGCAGGAGCTGGCCTGGTACTGGGCGTACTGGGAGACACTGGTGTGGGGTCTGTGCTCTGTCCCCGGGGTGTGTCCCCAGGTGTCCCCAGGTGTCCCCACATGTCCCCTGTCCCTGTCCCTCACCTGCAGGGACTCCTGGAAGGAGCTGGCCTGGTACTGGGCGTACTTGGCGATGGTGGTGTGGGAGCGGCTGCTCTCGCAGGGCCACACCTGCCGCGTGCCCGACAGGTCCCAGTTCTGGTCCGAGGGCTGCTGCACCTGCGTGCGCACCTCCACGGCGTGCTCCCCGCTGGCCTCCACCAGGGTCTTGGTGCTGAACAGACCCAGGTCTGCAAAATAGAGAAAAAAACAGCGGGTTTGGGTCATTTTGGGGGGTTTGGGTCATTTTGGGGAGTTTGGGTCATTTCGGGGGGCCCCAGGGGGACAGGGGGTGTCAGGGGACAGGGACAGGGACAGGGACAGGGACAGGGACAGGGAATCTCCACCAGGGTCTTGGTGCTGAACAGACCCAGGTCTGCAAACACAGACAAAAAACAGCAGGTTTGGGTCATTTTGGGGAGTTTGGGGCATTTCAGGGGTCCCCAGGTGTGTCAGGGGTCAGGGACAGGGACAGGGATGGGGACAGGGACAGGGAATCTCCACCAGGGTCTTGGTGCTGAACAGCCCCAGGTCTGCCCAAAAAAACAGCGGGTTTGGGTCATTTTGGGGGGTTTGGGGCATTTTGGGGGGCTTGGGGCATTTCGGGGGGCCTCAGGGACTGGGGGGTGTCAGGGGTCAGAAGGGGACAGGGACAGGGACAGGGACAGGGACAGGGACAGGGACAGGGACGGGGATGGGGAATCTCCACCAGGGTCTTGGTGCTGAACAGCCCCAGGTCTGCCAAAAAACCAGCGGATTTGGGTCATTTTGGGGGGTTTGGGGCATTTTGGGGGGCCCCAGGGGTGTCAGGGGACAGGGACAGGGACAGGGACTGGGACAGGGAATCTCCACCAGGGTCTTGGTGCTGAACAGCCCCAGGTCTGCCAAAAACAGACAAAAAAACAGCGGGTTTGGGTCATTTTGGGGAGTTTGGGGCATTCTGGGGGTTTGGGTCATTTTGGGGGGTTTGGGTCATTTTGGGGTTTGGGTCATTTTGGGGAGTTTGGGTCATTTTGGAGGGTTTGGGTCATTTCGGGGGGGTTGGGGTCATTTCAGGGTTTGGGTCATTTCGGGGGGTTTGGGTCATTTTGGGGAGTTTGGGTCATTTCAGGGGTTTGGGTCATTTTCAGGTTTGGGTCATTTTGGGGGGTTTGGGTCATTTTGGGGGTTTGGGTCATTTTGGGGTTTGGGTCATTTTGGGGGTTTGGGTTATTTTTGGGGTGATTTTGGGGGTTTTTGGGCTCACTGAGGCGCAGGGACCCCGCCAGGCCCCGGATGACGGTGATGGGGGGATTTGGGTTATTTTTGGGGTTATTTTTGGGGTGATTTTGGGGGTTTTTGGGCTCACTGAGGCGCAGGGATCCCGCCAGGCCCCGGATGACGGTGATGGGTTATTTTTGGGGTTATTTTTGGGGTGATTTTGGGGGTTTTTGGGCTCACTGAGGCGCAGGGACCCCGCCAGGCCCCGGATGACGGTGATGGGGGGATTTGGGGTTATTTTTGGGGTGTTTTTGGGGGTTTTTGGGCTCACTGAGGCGCAGGGACCCCGCCAGGCCCCGGATGACGGTGATGGGTTATTTTTGGGGTTATTTTTGGGGTGTTTTTGGGGGTTTTTTGG